AAAAAAAAAAAAAAAAAAAAAAAAAAAAAAAAAAAAAAAAAAAAAAAAAAAAAAAAAAAAAAAAAAAACAATTACGAAGGAGGATTTTCTACTCCGGGAAAAGCGAAAAAAAGTACAAAAAAGAGACATGTCGCGCTCCAACGAAGATGAAACGGAAGCGACCCCGGGGGGAGTCCTGCTTCTTCGCAAATTAAAAGTTGGCGTTATATTTCAAGTCTACAGCTGTATATGGACGCACAAGGTTTGTGATTGCAATTGCACAAGTTGGGATTTTTCTTTCACGCTTTTAAGTATACCACTTGTGTAATTATTATTATTTTTTTTTTTCCCAAATCAGAAATTCGATCGCGTTAAAACTGCTTCGTCATGAAGTTTCTTCGATCATGAATTTTATTATCCAACGCAACTGATGTATACTTTGCAAATTTACTCTCGAAAGGAAATTTAATGCATAATCGATGGAGCCGCCACTCGGATAGTTTCGTTGGAGCGTGCCACTTTAAGTTTAGAGGTTGTTATCCCGTCATCCCCTCGCTGTTATTAACAGTTACAATCCACCATCGGTTCCTTCAATGGAATCAGTCAATAAAGCGATTAGATGCTGCGGTAAATTAATGCTGTACGCGAAATCACCGTGAAATACTTAAACGATTTAACGGACGGATTTTTATTCTGGAAAAAAATTGTCATCACCTACTTGCCTGAACATTTCGAGGTAGTCTTTGGGTAGCAAGCAATATTTGAAATCAGGGGCGCGACAATTACAAATCTATGGGAACGAGGGGGCTAGGTTTAAAAAAAAAAAGTGTTGGATGACCCGATTCGACACTAAACAAGTTCTATTTTTTTGTCGCAACAGATTGATCGACACCTTTTTCATTTGTAAGACTATTATAACACGTGATTCGTTTAGAGCAGGTTAATTTAAAAGCGAGGTTTGAGAAATGAAAAAATAATAATGCAATTTTTTTATATTAAAAAGAAAGAAAAAAAAGATTTAATTGTCACTTAACTTTGATTTAACGTTTTGGACTCGTGTAAGTTTGAAAGTAATAAATTTTATAACAAGTCTATACTTATAAGAAAAAGTGGTGACTTTTCTTTTTGCCGTTGCGACCCTATTAAAAACGCGAAACGAAAAATTATTAAACTTCAACGCGCCATTTGGAGTAGTTCTTCTTTATATTCGCACGTCCAAGTAAGAGAAATAATAACATTCCAAAACGTAAATGACAAAGTTCCGCGATTCCAGGATGAATGTAGGTATACGTGCTGCAAAAAGTTGGATAACTTAATTGAGAAGTAGCCGCGTCTGAGATCGGCCGAGCGTGTATAGATATAGTTTACAGGCTCGTCCTCGTCCGTGTAGCAGATGCAGCCTCTCAAATACATTATTGATGAAGTGCGAGCTCGCACGGGACATTGAATCCTGTTATTTAATGGAAAATGGTGCCTTTTCAGGTTTCGACAATACGAAAATTTAAAAAAAATTTTTAAAAAATCCCATTGTTGGTGAACCACGACAATAAGTGTAAAGAAAGTAGGTACTGCGACACCGAAACGGCTGTAACGTTTTACAACGAATAAAGTGACAAATGGTAAAAAAAAATAACCTGTACAAAATTTCATTTGATGTTATTTATTTTATATATTAGCCTCACTAAGCAAACACGGTATAACAAATAACACGCACCAAGTTGAGAAATAAAAAAAAAAACAAAAAAAAAAAAACGTTTGTTTACACGAGTATTACAGCAACGGCGAAAAGGGTAAGTAATATTCAAGTCAACGGGGCGTAACCAGCGTAGCTTCCAATTAAAAGGTATGTTCCAGGCGCACCCCAACCGGTCATTCATGCTCGTTAACCCCCGCAATCAAAGGGGGAGGGGGTGGGTGACCCAAAAACTACCTCGACTACCAGCCAAGCACGCGTTCATTATCCCGCGTCCCCGTTTTAAGAGGAGCGTACACGACCCCCCGAGCGCGTAGGGTACCTGGCCGAGGCGGCAAGTCCTTGACGTCCTCGGTGGACCCGTCCTTGGCGAGCGACTCCGTTTCGAAGACCGAGTCGTCCCCATCCTCGTCAGGGCCGTCGTCGATCGTCCTCTCGATGTAGGCCTTCTTGGCGACCACCAGTCCAACGGGAGGCGCCCCGAGTTTGCCCCCCACCGTCATCTTGGTCGTCACGGTCTGCTCGTCGCCGCTGCTCCTGCTGGACTCGGCTTCCGTCTCGTTGCCCGCGTCTGTCTCGCTGCCCGGCGACGGCGGACTCGGCAGGCTCTTGCTGCCCGGCGACGGGCACGGCTTGCCCGAGTGCTGATGCACCACCGGCAGATAATCCCGCAGCCCCTCGTCCTCCCAGGGCGGTGGCGCCGGAGGCCCCGACAACCCGGGCTTGCCGTACTCCTCGTCCGTCTCGTCCTCCCCCTCGTCGTCCTCACCTTCGTCCTCCCGGTCGGTCTCGGCCACGTCGAAGTCTATCGGCGGTGGCGTCGGGAAGTCCAGCCGCGCCCGGGCTTCGTCCAGCCTCTCAAAGTCCGCGGCCTCCTCGGGCGGTGGGGTCGACGGCGGCGGGATGTTCAACAGGTCCGTCTCGGGCTGCCGTTGCTCCACCTCCTCCTCCTTCTCCTCCGAGCCACCGTTCGCGTGGTCCTCGACCCTATGGACGTCGCTCTTCTTGAGCTCGTCGACGATCTCGACTTCGCAGGTGGGCGGTGGAGGCAGCGACTGTTCCTCTCCTTCCGGTGGACCGGCCGTTTCCTCGTCGTCAGCCGCAACTCCGCCAGTCTCTGGTGCCGATTCCACCTCCTCCTCCTCCTCCTTCTGGGACTCGACGATCTCCTTCAGTTCCTGGAGCTCCTCGGTCTCGTCGTTGACCTCGTTGATCAGCTCCTCGATGATCATCTCCTCGATCTTGCTCCTCTCCACAACAGCTTTACTGGCCACAGCCTCCTCGTCCTCGACCACGTACTCGCCCTCGTCCTCGTCGTCCTCTTCTATGACAGTGACGACCTCCTCCTCGGTCTCCTCGCTCTCGCCCTTACCCAGCTCGGGTTTATCCTCGCCGTTCTCCAACGGCAGTGGGGGAGGAGGCGTACCGAGGTGTCGTTCGCTCTTCGGCGTGGCCTCCCCGGTGCTCTCCTCGCCCGACTCCTCCTTGATCTTCTCGAGCAGCTCGCCCTTGCCGCGTATGTCGTTGGCTATCTTCGCCGCGTTGTTCAATATCTCGACCACCTCCTCTCGCATGGCCTCCCTGATGACCTCCCGGTCCACCCCGTTCACCTCCACCACCACCCTCTCGACCTCCTCCTCGTTGACTTCCGCGAGCGTCTCCTTGGGCCCCGTCACAGGGACGGCCGCTTGGGTGTCCGGGCACTTGAACTTCTGGGCCAGCTCCTCCTCGATTTTACGCTCCTCCTCGTCCTCGTCGTCGTTCGTCGAGGAGGAGCTTGTCGAAGAGGACGACGATGACGACGAAGACGAGGTGCCTTCGTCGTCTACGTCCTTGGACGACGACTCGTCCTCCTCGTCCTCCTCCTCGGTGCTCGTTCGCCTCGACGTCTTGCCGTGGCACACGCAACACTTGAACATCTTCTATCGGCTTTGTTTACCCTTCGTGTGTATAATATATATATATACAGCTATTTGTGTACGATTCATACGTAACTACATCAATATTTTTGTATTGGATTATCTCTTAACTCCTTATTTAGGGCCTCTAATATCTTCTTTGGTGTCATATATGTATTATAGTTTCCTCTTTCGTTTCTTGTCCGCGCGTGTACAATATGCATACACCGCCTTTGATTATCGAACATATACTCGTCACATCCAACACATCATCAAACAATAATTGTACAATAGTACCGAAAATGATAAAATAATGTGTTACAATAGATCAGCCTCTTTTACGTATAGTCTTGGTCGTGCGCGCACAAATTCCATCTGTCAAATGTATGTCCAAGAAGTTGCGTCCTCGATTGAGAAAAAACGCGGGCATGGAAAAATGTCTGTGTTTGTTTGGCACCCGCGTCATCGAGGAGGATGTCCCGCGTGCAGGTGGTGATGGCGAGTAGGCCACGCACACGCGCAACCACGGAGCAGCAGCAGGGCGTGTTGTACAACATGTGTCTGTGTGTATAAAAGGGGGAAAATCCGCTCAGAGCTTTTCCGGGTGCCGCACCAGCCGTTGGGCTGCTGGCAATCGATAAACGCGGAATAACGGCTCGCCAACGGCTCCGAGTTCACCCCGGATGATCATCCTTCCTCCCTCCTCCCCGTTCGCTGCATGTATACCACTTGGTTAATTGTCCCGCGTCCCGCGTCTCCCTCCCCCCCCCCTTTTGACACTTTTGGCGTGCGTTACACAATTACAGAATCACACCCACGCACTGTACACACAATGTGCGCGAATTTGACAGGATCGCGGGAGGGCATGCTCCTTCCCTCTTTGACCACGGCGTCGTTGACACCTTTTCTTTCCGTCTTCCCTTATCTCCGAGCACTCAAACGTCAGCAACAAAACGCGCGTCACTTACTCGGGGGGTGGTGTCGATGCGTGGCAAGGAGACTCGTATAAATTATCATTCAAAAAAAAGAACGAATCGAAGGAGAGAGAGAGAGAGGACCGTTGTTGGTGGTGGCCCTTGGGCCTGTCCGCCACGCCTGACAAGCCCACGCCTCTTGGCTGCAGGTAGCTGATGATGTAAAAGCTCCACGCCACGGGTGATGCTGCCGAGGAGGGGGGTGGGGTGGGCCATGGGGGGTCGAGAGGGCAAAGCGATGGATTCTGCGACTGCGTGCATGCGCGTCTGCGTTTCCGAGCTTGCACGACGAGGCGCCGGGAAATTGGACCGATGCTCTCTCTCTCTTTTTCATCCATACCCTCCATGACCTCCCTCACCAACCGAGGGATGTACACATTCGTGCGGCTTACGTGATACACCACGTCGAGCTTGTTTGGGTTTTTTTTTTTTTGTTTTTTTTTTGAGGGGGGGGGGAGTTTCTCTTCCTTTTTTTTTTGTGGCCAGACGGAATGGTCTCGCTGAGCGAGCTTTTCCTCTCCTTTTCGTGCACGCGGGCATTGGTGCCCCAAACACACGGAAGCGAGCGATAATGACGTCTTGCGCGAGTGTAGTCTGCAACGATGATGTTGGAACGAATAACTTGCACGATTTACTTCCGGTTATTCTCGCTGATGATCTCTAAAAGAGCGGGTTTTGTTTGGACTGTACCTTTACCAGTTTTGATTCCTTTTTTTTTTTTTTTTGTCTTTACTACCCTCCCTCATCTTCATCCCAAGTATGCGTGTGGGACCCACCCTCGAACAACTCTGATGTCATCCATTTTACTACAGCGAAGCAATCGTCTCGAGTAGTACACCCTATGGTCATTATGGGGTTTAATGATCCCGATTTTGCCGTATACCAACGAGCTGAACGAGTGTCCCTGGAAAAGGAAGCCAATATGGAGGTTCAACAATTGGTTTATTGGTTTTTTACCGTTCCGGGGATTCGTCTATCTTATCGAACACGCCCGAGAAAAAAAAAATTCCGATATTTTTCAACGGGACTCGAGAACCCATGACCCCCCCCCCCCCCGAGTTTCTTCGACTATAGGAGGACTACGCAGTTTGGGTGTATCAAACTAGCATAGCCAAGGTATATGTAGAAATACGATATGAATTGGGACATAATTTTTTGCCCACGTGACTTGGTTTTGATAGTGAGATATTAAAAATATCGAAGTGTTTTATCTAAAATGACAAATGCAACGTGCTATACTCAAAATGTAAGAGGGCAGGTCATACAAAGACACGAACTTAGGAGTTAGCAACAGTGCAGGGCTTTACTACTTTAATACATGACAATACATGTACATAAAACCGTACTTATGTAGTTTACAATATATATTAGGTAGACGATAATGAGGGAACAATACTTGGCAGAGTTTCAAATTCGGAGCTTTTCATAACAATCGCGAATCAATGTGCCAAAGTGATGAAGGGATCATACGTTTTGAGATTGAAGAGAAAAAAAAACTGCTATTGCGTTAACATCAGTTGTATCATGTATTTACATCATCATACGTGAAATAGTTTTAAAAATTGTACTAATTTCTACTATCGTTTACCGTATAAAAATTCGTGAATATCGATCTTGTTGAAAAAAAAAAAAAAAGAAACTTATAGTCGTTATAAAAAACACTATATTCTGAGGAACTCGTTATTTTTAATGTAAAATTGTTTGATTGTTTATTTTTTACCGTTTTTAGTTTTTTTTTAATTACATCAAATTTTTCCAAACACATCATCAGCAAGCAAAGAACGGCAACACAATTTTTTTACATTTTATGTATTTATCTCTGTTTTCGTATTCATAATAATTTAATATCGACAATTCAAGTGGCAATGCAATCCAACTTTCTTTCAACACCACGTATTATAATGCTCTTACCATTTTTTGTAGTCCACGAAATGATGTCGATAAAATATTAAAATTGATATCGATAAAAACGAACAGAACGCAAGATTAAAAATTTTTTAAAATGATTTTGGTAATGATCTGCGAGTTTTTTATGAAGTATTTATAATTTATACGTTCACTCGGCGTTATTTTGTGGGCTACAAAAAAGGTAGCAACTCTGTTCAACAGAGAAAATTTTTTATTATTGAAAAATCACCGAATTTATCAATAAATAAAGCAATTAATAAAATAAACAAGCATAATATTTGTGTTCATGCCACAGACGTAAAGATTTTTTCATGTTGAAAATTTCTTTATTTGATTATTACTTTAGATTACATATAAACAATAATGAATTTTTTGTTAATCAATGCTAGAAATGATACTTGGATTAATTTCCGGTCGAAAGGATTTATTAAGGGGTTTAGACGTCAAATAATATTTAGACACTTAATACGAAAACATGTGTTTGAAAAATATTGACATTCCTTTGGTGCATGGGTATAACTGCACATATAAACATTATATATCGTTTGCGATAAGAAGATTAGATGTTATTGATTCAACAATACCAAGAAGAAAAAATTTGTCTTACATGCAAAAGAAAATCGTACACTGGACTCATTTGAATTGATTTTATTTCAACATATCTAAGTGTTCTGATGAAAGATTTGTTATTTGTTTGAAGACGTCATGAAATTTTTTTTGAATAAAAACAGCATTATTTCAAAGGACAACATTACCCATCCCATAGTTTTGTAAGCCATGGTCAAAAATTCCTATCACTTTAAAATTTGTACTAAAAAAACATCAATATTAATGATTATAATTAAATTTTACATTTCTTTCATGAAATAATTTTAAATAATTACAATAAACCTAGATTTAAATCACACACACTTCAAAAACATTAATTAAATAAAACCATATATACATAAAAAATACACTAGCTTGATCTCCTGTTTACGAGTACGTATTTTTAAAACATCCAGTTAATTTGTAATTTGTATCTTAATCAAATTTTTTCCTACTATCAAATTACCGCCATTCAATTAAAGTATTAAAAAAAAATAACGCATTTTTCGTATTGCACCCACTATACTTACCTCACTTACAAAAAGATATAATATGAACTATCTCTCGGGGCGCAGCCGCAGTCTAAAAATACGTGTACGCAGCTCCAAAGCCATTAATATAGCCGCGACCTTGCTATTCGGGCTCACCCGACTGTTATTTATAAAGTATTCACACAGAATTACTTCACAGCGGTACGTGGTAAAAAGAGCAAAATTCCGCTGGCAAAAAAAGTGATGGAAAAAAGGGCAAAACAAGTTTTCCTCTTTTAAACATGGTATTTCACATATCGTAACGGCATCGGTCTATAAAAAAAAAAAAAAAAAAACTACTCCTTAGAGTATAAAATGTATAATAACAATTAACAATATTGTTCTGCTATGAATCGTAGTTTTAAAACCAGCTCGTGATATCATCCTCTTGATCATTTTCGAAGAAGCAGGTACTTGATAGCATCATATGATTTACCGTGTGTCTATATGGCAAAGAGCAGACTCGCGCGTTCACACAATCGTATGAGCCAAACAAGACAGAGTTGTCTGCAAGTGAGTCATAGAGATAAAACCGATATTTTATAAAACATGAAATCATATGCAAAAAAATAACGAGGTAAATTTTTTTAGTATAATATTATGATACATACATCAATCGATGTTTTCTTAAAAATGATTTAAGCATCGTTAATTACGTCCAAGTGATGGTAAAAAGCAAAAAACAATGTAACGGTCCTTTAATTATGCTGGAACAGAATGGTTGGGCTGCTGCTTACGTATTATATATATGATCCACCCCTTACATGGCTCATTATGGAGTGCATGAACGCGGTAGCTTGCATATTTCCCATAGATAGTAACAAGCAGCACAAGACTTTTTTTTACCGACTCACTTCTGCACCAAATACTTCATATTATACGTATGTGAAAGCCTTGTAGAACAATGGATAAGGTAAGTAATAATAGCTGTACCAGTATACAATGTTTCCTCTCACAGACAGCTGAGAGCAAGCGCTTCTCCAGTGCTCCAGATGAATTGGAGCAATGACCGAAAGTTAGCGCTAAGCAATGGGTACCTAAGCACTATTGCATGTGTGTATGATACCTATATACGGTAGAAATGGGAAAAGGAGAAAAACACTGAGAGTTGAAGTCCTTGATCCTACCTAAGAGAGTGATGCACTTCCTTTAAAAGCAGTGGTTGGAAAACTAGAAAGGAAGAAGATCAAGAGATGAAAATGTGAAAGGGAACATGTACGTACACATGTGTCTATGTGTAGAGGTAATTAATACAAGATAGGTACAATGTATAAAGTATTTACAACTACCCATTTAAAATTTTTGGCAACACGCAAGTACACAATGTAGATTAGTAATGGCGCAAATATATATCTGTATATATGCAAGGTATATAGCGATTACAGCGACAGTCTCTGTGCCGGCATAATAATATTCTACAATTCACTATTTAATTTATTATTTTAATATATACGCTCATAACATATTATGTTCATCCTTTACGTAAATTGTGTTCCATGATAGCCACACCATATATTATGTATCACTGAACTTATGCACGTTTAGGTATACAATGAGTTACATATTCGCCCATTGTATATACACGTATGCAGTTTCTCAATTAATGTACTTACAAACTTCCTGTTTTCATTAAATGAATGTGTGTGTTAAACACATGACAATGGGCAGGTAAGGTTCGTTAATGATACCGATGAAGTTGAAAAAAGGTGAAGAAAATTACACTACTTACCTTGATACGGACAACAGAGGAAACGCCCGGAGTGTTAAGCGTCACCGAAGCAGCGATAGGCAGCTGTATTATCTATTTATCAATTGATTCAGTCACTGAACAAGTATACACACAAACACTCGCACCAACTCGGTAGAAAGATTATAGTTCCTTTTATAAATATAAGAGTAATGTACCTATAGTGACGTTTCTGATGGATTACTATATTGTTTTTTTATTCCCACGTTGACTCTTTGCACCTAAAAATGTATGTAAGATGTATACACTCGCAACTCCTCGCAAAAAAAAGGAGTCCTCGAGAAAACTATTGCTGGTGTACGAGTAGCTTCACTATAGAGCGTGCACCCGTATCCTGGTATTCAGAGTTTGTAAGCAAGTACCTAGATAGATAAAAAAAACCAAGAGACGATCAAAGTATGAGCCAAGTGAGCTCGTTTTTTTATTTGTTTGATATTTTAACAGCAGAGTACTGGCTTAGCCAACAACAGACTAGGTACAGTCACAGGCGACACGACAGCAAAGCACCGAAGCACATTACTGTTGGCTCCGTAAGCGGTGTGGTCGGTGGTTGGGTGTGCGATGATTCAGTGCAGTGAAGTAAAGCCGCTCCTAGAGTAGCTGCTCCGACCGCGTCCAGCGCTTGCCGGATTCATGTATATACACAATTATCTTTATGTTCGTAAATTGATAATCGTTTAGTACGCAAGTGCTTGTAGCACACGTGGTAATTTCATTTAATTATTTTTAATAATCTGTTTGACGAACGGCGAAAGCGGTCGAATGCGGTTACACACGTGTATACGCAACTATTTAGAAGTAGCTTTAATAATGCAATCCGACGTGTGAATCAGACTTTTATCGGACTCGCGACTGAGAAAATGGGATCAGCGTCATCTAGCGGTACTCGTAACGAGAACTTTTGGAGATCAGGAGATATGAAGATATGAAGATATCGAAATTTGCGCATGCGCGTGTGTAGTAGAATTCAAAACGCGCTCTTTTTAAATCGTCAATTCACAAATTTCACAATTCCATCGATGTGTATAAAGTTTATTGAAAAATCAAGACACAAAGTGTACAAGTTTAAGTAAGTACATTATTTGCAATGTATCGTTTTAAAGTTTTTCATGTTTGCACACGTCTCGTTTAATTTTCCAGAATTTACATGTCTCGTCTAATTAAAATATATGAATAAAAAAACTTTTGCAGCAAGTACAACTTCCAATAACAATGTACACGAAAAAATGAGTTACTATTATTTGTAAAAAATACTTTCAATCTTCTCCGTGTAAAAATCCATCATGAAACATTCATATCTACCTGTTAAAATAACACAATGTACGCGTTTGTTAATGAAAAATCTCTTTTTTTATCCTTCTACTTAAAAAAAGTGTATTCTAATTAGAGACAGAGTCATTATAGTTTTTCCTAGTTTATAATTATGTATGCCAATCTCAACTATTCTAAATTCGAGATATGTAAATATATATTCTAATAGAAGACGAGAGCCAACAAAGTTTTTTGAATCGATTCAGTGTTCTCGTGGTTTAGGATATATCTATATTATGCAACACAAACACACGTCTGTATATTATGATAAGTGATAAGTGACTCAAAAAAGCGTAAACGGAGATTCAGTAACATTTCGTTGGCTTTTTTGTCCCATCGAATAAATAATTCATGAATGTGACAATGCCTATAAAAGAATGGTCTGCATAAAATTTTTACTCGCAACTTTATTCCAATAGTCGATAATCTGTGATCTTATGTTTTTACTTTCAGAAAGCGCTCAACCAGAGAGCTGAATAGTCGAGGTTAGACGACATTTTTCACATCAAGTGGTTTACAATTTATAACGTTTAGAGTTAAAGTGAAAGTAATAAATTATAAAAATGAGTTCGAAATTCGTGTTTTTGGAATCCATGGACATATTGAGCACTATACCTCAATATCACACAATACTCGTGGCTTTCACAGTCCTGTGGATAGCCTGGTTTTTTGCCAAGAGGAGGTATCAATCAGAAGACAATACAGCCGACGAATTTGAGCGAAGGTTGGAGCAGTGGACACCAGAGCCACTTGTACCAGAGGTCCAAAAGGACCATCCTTTCTTGAATCCGAAAAAAGTAACCTCCAGAATTGGCAAAAGAATAAACGTCAATGGACACGACTGTTTGAACTTGGGCACTCATAATTATTTGGGATTGACAGAGAATGCGGACATTGAAAAAAAAGCTGTCGACTCCATACAAAAGTATGGAGTTGGTTCTTGTGGGCCAAGAGGCTTTTATGGTACTGTGGATGTGCATTTAGAACTAGAGGAGCGTCTGGCACAGTTTATGCAAATGGAAGAAGCTATTGTTTATTCCTATGGTTTTAGTACCATTGCATCAGCGATACCTGCTTACTGCAAGCGAAACGACCTAGTTTTTGTCGACGAGCAGGTCAACTTTTCTATACAAAAAGGACTTGATGCAGCCAGATCGAATATTAAATATTTTAAGCACAATGATGTAAAAGACCTTGAGAATCTGTTAGAAACTTATGTTGGTTCAACCAAAGTAAAATCAAACAAAGTTGAAAGAAGAAGAAAGTTTTTGATCGTAGAAGGTATTTACATGAATACTGGTATGGTTTGCCCATTGCCTCAACTAGTTGCTCTGAGTAGAAAGTACAAACTGCGTATTTTTGTTGACGAATCTATATCGATTGGAACTGTTGGAGCCACTGGACGAGGTGTCACTGAACATTTCAATGTTCCCAGACATGAAATTGACATGATCATGGGTAAGTTGGAAAACAGCCTAATCAGTATTAAAGTGTAATAATAACTTTTTCAATATTTCTAGGATCCTTGGAATTGACAATTGGTTCCATTGGTGGGTTTTGCGTAGGTTCTTCTTTTGTCATTGAACACCAAAGATTGTCAGGGTTAGGCTACTGCTTTTCAGCTTCACTGCCACCCCTTTTGACCTCGGCAGCTATTGCTTCATTAGAAATAATGGAAAACAAACCAGAGTTGTTCAGTGCACTCAAAAACAACTGCATGAAGTTCGATGAAGGCATCAAAAATATTAATTTATTTGAGTGCACAAGTGATTCGGAATCCCCTGTTAAGCATTTATACTTGAAGGAACAAATGGACCACAATAAGGAGCTAAAGTTGCTCCAAGAAATATCCAACAAGTGCATTGAAAATGGTCTAATGGTTATCACACCAGCTTACCTAGATGCCGAGAAAAAACGTCCACGTCCCAGCTTGAGGGTGTGCATTTCTGCTGCTTTGGACACTAACGACATTAATTTTGCTCTAACTACATTGAAAAGTTGCGCTACACAGATTTTGTCATATTCTGTTCAGTAGATGATGATTTTTCAATCACTTAAATACAAGAACAAAGTTTTATCATTATGTAGTATGTAACATGTAAAAATAATTAAAACCATCTTTTATGAAGTAACGTCTGTATATGACTTATAGTTTTAAATAAAATTTGTTTAAAATAAAAATTATCTACTTTTTCTTAAAATTAAGTCATAGAACTAACCGTTTAAATGGAAAATAGTTCCCGCGCAACGTAGCCTATTCGGTGGCGGCGGCGGGAGAGTCGAATTCTGGTCGCTGGGGGGGGGGCTGGGGCCCTCTCTCCGCCAAACCAAACTAGCGTCTCTTTTCCGTTCACTTGCGCCTAACGCCGTAGTGAGGTAAGATGTGATCAATTGTTATAGTTTCCTTATTTTTGTAAATTTTTTCTGAATTAAAGTGATGAATGTAATTCAAGGATTACTTATTCTTTATAATAATTATAAAAGTATATATTTTTTTGTCGTATAAACGATGCATTGTTGCGCTTTGCACATGCTTGCTTTTTGAGGTTACGTAGCCACGTGGCTGCCGCGACTTATATATGGTTCCATATGAGTATTAATAACTATTAGTTTAACATAATAGTTTGTTTATTGATTCAAGTGATGAAAAAAATTAACGTCAGAGGAGCCGAGCAACGATCAGGGGCTAGAAATAGCTAAACCCACCTGGTCGCGGCTCCGTTGCTGATAAATGCATCTACGATGCAGTCTGATTAAATACCTCAAAAAAATTGACTTTTTTTCCCAATTTTGCAAAAATCTTTAAAAATTCTTTTAATTTTTGTTCCAGTCCTCAAACACCACTAAGGTATCCCTGCACACATCAAGATGGGTAGGGAGGACAAAACTACCTGGAAAGCGAGTTACTTCACCAAGCTCATTGTAAGTGTTATCAAGTACTATGATTAATATCCATTGTATACATTTTATCACTTAATGAGATTTTATTTGTACGTCTTAATATCTCGCCAAGTGTTGCAATTGCTAGTGAAATCTGTAATAGTTAAATATATCATATAAAATATAGAAATCTGTAAGGAGATATTAACATGTGATAAATTTTTACAGCGTTTGTTGGATGATTATCCCAAGTGCTTTATCGTCAGTGCGGACAATGTCGGTTCCAAGCAGATGCAGCAGATCCGTATGTCCCTGCGTGGGACTGCAGTTGTACTCATGGGTAAGAACACCATGATGCGCAAGGCCATCCGTGGTCACGTTGAGCGCAACGCTGCTCTTGAAAAACTCTTGCCCCACATCAGAGGCAATGTTGGCTTTGTCTTCACTCGTGGAGACCTTGTCGAAGTCAGGGACAAGCTACTCGAGAACAAAGTCCGAGCTCCTGCCAGGAATGGTGCCATTGCCCCATTGAGTGTTATCATCCCCGCTCACAACACTGGCTTGGGTCCCGAGAAGACCTCTTTCTTCCAGGCTCTGAGTATCCCAACCAAGATCTCCAAGGGTACAATTGAAATCATCGTAAGTTCGTGAAATCATGGTTAGCAATAAAGTACTAGAACAAGTAAATCTTTCACGAGTATTTACAATGATGTTAATTTTTATTTTTAGAACGATGTTCACATCTTGAAGCCAGGTGACAAGGTCGGCCCTTCAGAAGCTTCACTTCTGAATTACCTGAACATCTCTCCCTTCTCGTATGGTTTAATCGTCGAACAAGTGTACGATTCTGGAACCATCTTTGCTCCCGAGATTCTTGACATCAAGCCTGAAGATCTTCGTGAGAAATTCATGGCTGGAGTTGCCAACTTGGCCTCTGTGTGCTTAGCCATTGGCTATCCCACAATTGCCAGTGCTCCACACAGCATTGCCAATGGGTTCAAGAACTTGTTGGCTGTTGCTGCTGTCACAGATGTCGACTTCCCTGAAGCAGCGACCATTAAAGAATTCATCAAGGTACGATTGAGATACATCTATACATGAATTTGTATTTTGATTAGATTCGAACGAGAACCCTTTGTATTCATTAGTAATACTATGGCTAAGTTTTTTTGCAAAGAAAAATTTCCCGTAACTAGTTAAAAATTCAAACATACATAAATTTTTCGATTTTAGAATAAATTTTTCCTATTGCTGGCTTTTAAATTTAAAATTTTAGTTAAAACCTAATGTAAATCATAGTATATTTACTTTACCTATAAATTAAATGATGACAATTAGTATCTTTGAGACCGAGCTCGGCCAGGGGCTAGAAATAGCTAAACCCACCTGGTCGCGGTCGTAGGAAATACCCTTGCAGGAGTCTGATAGTAAAATAAAAAAAATTTTATTTTATAAAATGGCTTTTACCCCTGACATATGAACAATAATGTGTCAACTTTTTACAGGATCCAAGCAAATTTGCCGCTGCCGCCGTCTCTGCTGCCCCAGCTGCTGCAGCAGAAAAGAAGGAAGAGAAGAAAGAGGAAAAGAAGGAAGAGTCTGAATCCGAAGATGAAGACATGGGCTTTGGACTCTTTGACTAAGTTTTTTATTGACTTAACCATGCAGTGGCATATTTTCTACTGTTAAAGCTTCACACCGACGTCCGAATAAAGCACCAGGATAATTTTTTGAAAATAAAATACGACTTGATTTTAATTATTTTTAAACTGTACATATGCGATCCATCCACCCTGTGTGTCTTCCCGAAAATTTCTTTAAAGTTGATGCAAAATACCATTAACTATAAAAATTTGAGTAGATCACGTTATCTCACATTGTAGAATCTCAATGTCTGTGAGAATCATCAATTTCTTACATTTTTCAGTCATTAATAAAACAAATAATCACAAGAAAATTACACACTAAAGCAACTTTGTAGCACCGGTCAATTAGAGAAAACGTAAATTCTTTAAATAGAAAAACTACTGAGTAATAAATGCGGTGTATCATGAACCATTGATTATACGTGTGTACGCACCATTGCGATAACTACATACTTAAGAAAAAAAAAAACTTCTGCCAAAGCATATGTTGACGAGTTCGCGATAATAAAATGCAGCAATAAATCTTACGAGTGGTTTGATTATAGTAAAATATTTATTCTCAGTTCGTACACAGTCAATTGTTTAACCTCATCGATTTCCGAGAACACTCGACTTGACATTCTCTGAAAATGACAGTAAGTATGCAGCATTACAGCAGTGGTTATAAGTAGTGGCTGAACGCTGTAAGTAATGATTGCAATTGCACGTGTAAAAGGTATACCGCATCAGTTATATACTTATTTAACTCAATACCTAAGTATAAGTACTCTCAACAACAATAACAGTGTTTTTTGTACAGTTAACGACGACAGGCTGTATATAAGTACCTATTCCGCAAATGCTGCCAGCAGTTAAAATACGTAGATCGTGGTAACGCCGCATGGTCGGGCGGCAACTTAACTGCTGGCAGCATTTGCGGAATACAGCCCCTGATATCATTCTGGTTAAGTGAGCACGGTGTAAGATATATCATATGTAGTAATTTAATCACTTCTAAGTAGTGCCATATGGTCAATTTTATTAAACCATATAAGTAGAATATATACTTTTAGAGGTCAATTTTTAGGTAATAGAATTGTAAACTTGCCGCAAATAGCACAAAAATTTTTAACTTTTTAATGTCTATCTATCAAATTAGTTGCGGCTGGTTTATAATCGATAACATGGCTCTATAGTTAAAATTATTTGGATCAGCGCCATCTAGCGTTGCGGATTTCTGAACTAAAAAGTGGCCCTAAACTTTTGACCCACAGCATTAGCGCTTAGAGCCATTTAACCTATTATAAACCAGCCGCAACTAATGTCATAGCAATAAAATATAAAATAAACGTTGTATGTACTATTTGCGGCAAGTTTACAATTCTATCACCCAAAATTTGACCTCTAAAAGTATAGATATTCTACTTATATGGTTTAATAAAATCGACCATACGGCACTACTTAGTAGTGATTACTATAATTACTACACATAACTTCATGTATATCCTTCACTGTGCTTTCTTTACCAGAATGAAAAAATCAGAGGCTATATTCCACAAAAGCTATCGGGTGGCATCTGGCATGCGGGAGTGAAAACAGCAAAAAATATCGAAGTTTGTTGACATGCGGAATCCACCGACAGTTAGTACAGGTTGACGCTAGCGCTGCCTGACCATGTGGCGTTACCACGACCTATACGTAACGTAACTGCTGGATACAGCCACAGTGTATTTTTGTTTTTTGTGTCTGTCCTAATTATCTTATCAATCAACATTCCAAACATGCAATCCTCATCGTCATAGTGTACTTTCATATCTGTTCAGTAAAACCGCAGTTAAGCGCATCAGTGTGCGCTGTGTAAATTTTTTTATCCATACATCTACTACAACATAATAGTTTTGCTCCCTCCAGTCTCCCGTATAGTTTTGTGTGTCGAACGTCATCCTCTGGGCCTCTAGTCTAGTAAGTCTAGTTAGTCTGACTCCAACCGTCCAGCAGCTTGCATCTATCAGTGCACACATAAGTAAAGGCACCTGGAACTCCTGGAAGATTTGTTTTCTATTATTACTTCGAACACCAAAAAGTAAAACTTTATAGGTACCTGATCAAACTCCTTCAGATTGTACATGTTTCTCAGTTATCATTTTATAAATTAAACTCGTGCGCGTGTTCCACGTCGGCCCGGATCATCTGTGTCGTATTTATTGGAAAGGGCGAAAGGAATAATACAAAAATGGGTCTGCTGTCGGAGGGAAGCCCACTCAGCTGGGAGGAGACGAAAAGGCTGGCTGACCACGTGCGGAAGCACGGTATCAAGCAGTTCATTAATTTGTACAAGAAGCTCAGGGACAGGCAGGGTGACGTGCTCAAATGGGGAGACGAGGTACTTACTTTTTACCACCTACCTAATATTATCATGAATATTATTTTACATGCTCATATATTTTGTATTCTTCGTTTTTTTTTGGGATGGTGCAACTCAATCTTTTTTCTGAGAATTTTTGTCAAATAAGCAGTCTTGACTCTTAAATAATGCACTTATTTTCACTCTCAAGGTCTGGAGAGAAAGTGTATTTAGTCATGCAGGAAAGGTGTATTTGAGTAATAAATGCTCGTTATAGTGTGAAGTAAACCGATTGAGAAGCCAAAGGTGCCATTATCATTGTGTACTGTACAACCATGAGTTGCATAAACAAGTATTACAATCACATTTTTTTCAAGTGTGACAGAAGCTTATTCACATTCTCTTTGGCATGCCTTTTATCATTTTTGCAAATCTAATTCTGAACACACAGTGCTATGTAACAACAGCATATATTCATTCTTATCTACATCATGAGTTGGAAGTTTTAGTCGCTTTACTTTGAATGCAGTATTTTTTTTCTTTATCAAAGTAATGTGTCATCAATAGTTTTGAGATTAGATATTGGGTGTCGTTTTTTTCCTTATCATCCACCTGTAGATAAGATTGAACGTAAAAAATCAACATCGTTGCTTTAAATATCTTTAAATAGTTTTGTTTTACTATGTTAAAACAAACCATATGTCCAACCAATAATCGTGTATGCACATAATTAAAATGTATTCTTAATTCATAAATATTTGTGAGTTAAAGTAGTACTGTCTATGTGGCACCATATTTAAGCTTCAGAAATCGTTGAAACTTGACTGAAATTATATTTTAAAGTAAAAAAAACTAGGTCAAAGTATTGTGGGGAGGGTACTTATTAAGACATTAGTTATAATTTTGGTTTTTATACATAGGTTAAACACACTGCTAATGGAAAATCACATGAGTTTACACCGAGAGTGCCCACAATTAATAACAAGAAACATCTCATAGGCTGCCTGTTAAACTCCTTTTTTATTAAATGCAACAACATGAAATTTAAAAAAACGCTCGAAAAACTTTGTACAAAGAGCGTGACAGCGCATAGAGTGTTATGGAAATTTGATTTGAATAAAATATTCATATCAGACTGCCAATAAAGTAAATGGAATGAACAATATATCCGATAAAGTAAAATCGGTAGTCGATATCAACTTTCCTATTTTTAGTGGACACCTGAAAGTGTAAAAAAAAGTACTCATATTAGGTTGCCAAAAACAAGGGCTAAACATAATAAGCATTGAAAAAAAAAAAGCAGACAATTTGCACGTGTTTAATAAACTATTTACCCGACATAAAAAACGGCTTACACCAGACTGTCAATTGAGTTCTGAACAAATGGCATCCAAACATACTTTAATATCTAATTAACAGCTGGGTATGACTCATTAAAGCTGCATACAGTCAATAACACCAAGCTACCGTTTTTTAAACAATATTTGCACCGTTTTATTACTTGTCAGTTACATCTTACATAAACTATTTTCATAGTAATTATTTACGTTTATTAAGAATTGAATAAATGAATAAAGTTGAACTACAATCTGTATTCGAAAAAAAGCATCATGCAAAAACTGTGCATCATTTTAAGAACGGGAAATACCCCAATGCAAGTCATCATGGTAACACGTGTACCTACATGCGTTTGTTTGTAGCGCCGCAAACATCAGTAAAATAAAATACAAGCTGAAACAAAATAACAAAAAATTTCAATTAGTTAATACAAAAGCCGGTTTCCACAATAATCAATTCAACGATTTTGAAAGAATGCTTGAGTGACATAGTTTCAAGTGATGAAATTCATAATTTAAACGATGCAGCAAATTTAGATCTACTTGTGTTTATTCGCTTTTTCTACGTACTAATGGTGTACAAGTTTCTTCGCTCTCCGACTCAGCACTCGCACATGCTTCTTTCTATGCGCGTCCTCTTTTTCTGCCTTTTGTTATCCCTCTGCTTTGTCTTCTCTTTTATCTTCGTCTCGTTCCAAAGGTGGCCTGAAACCGATTTTTCCCGCAAAAAGGAAAGAAATAGAAAAGAAAACCGAAGTAAGGTATATCTATGTATATATACCTGTTACCATCATGAAAACAATTAGTGCCATCTCATGTATAGCGTATATTGTGTGAGAGAGCGCTGTGAGGTGTATTATTACCGATCGTTACCGATTGTAGCCACAGTATAACGATTTCAAATAAGTAGTGGAAACTTTGTAGGTGACACTGTATGAACGCATAATCAAAGTATTTAAAAATAATTCTCGCACATATTGAAAATAAGTATAGATTGTAAGTAAATCAATGACGTAAACACAAAATACTCGACATGATGCCATTTGAATGCCAGTCTCACATGTTTTTAACGGGTCGCTGTCAAAAGTCAGTTCATATTTCGTATGAAAAAATGGTAAGTAGCCTGATGCAAATGATTATGAAACACATTATGAATGAGTAGCTCCATAGTTTTATCAGTTATAATCATTGGCTGTCAAGCGAGAAGTCGTTATGAAAATAAAAATTGTAAAAAAAATTGTAGTCTCGTGAAAACTACAATTTTACATTTTCACGAGTACCGTATATTTATAGTATTCCACGTATTATGTATTCGATTGCCAATCAATAAATCGACTGCAGTAGCTCCACGGGCAGCTTTATTTGAGACGTTCCTCAAAATCGGTGGCGGGCATTAATTTGGTCTAATATTTTCTCTGATCCAACGCGGATCAATCTAAAACTACTATTCATATTTTATACTCGTAAGGTACCGACCTTAGTTACCTTAATATAGTATACATTTAAAATCACTCTATCACATATTTATCGAGTTATAGTTATACTTCATTATCGCAACATTTTTGTAATATTTTTTTTGCAAGTGTAATAAATTTATACAAACAGAAATACATTTAAATTTAACAGAAATATTATTTAATTATTGACTCACTTATGTCACTGTCATAAATGTCATAAGTATATTTTGGTAACATAATAACACTCGAAAAATTATTAACCCAGTTTCACATACAATTAATTTTCTATTGTAAATATCTTTTGTAACTAAAAAAAAAATTTTTTTTTAAACACTAGACTTGAAATTATGTTTAATTTTAATTAACTTCTAATAAGATTACAGGTAGTTTGTAGATAAAATAGTGAAGCACAATCCGTGATAGGCAGAGAATATTATAATTATGATATTTACGTGCATGAGAGAGAAGTGTACTAGTTGTTTTCTACACAGTACTGATAGTAAATTTTTTGTTTCATGCAATGAGTTTTCATAATCTAGCAGTGATGCTTATATTTATACTATCATCGATAAAGCAGTTTTATTTTATTTTATTTTAATTTTTTTTAAATTTTCGTTTATAACTTTTTTTTAGATGTGATTCATATATAAAAAAAAAAAATAAATAAAAAAAAATTACTCTTTGTTGTTACATAAATTCAGTAATTAATTAAAAAAAATTTTTTTTTATTTATTCTAGTGTAATATCAATGGCAAACTAATAATTAATACAAATATGGCACTGAACTAATATATTTTGATCGTATTTTTTTTATTAAGAAGACTATTATGGTAATTAACTTCGATATTAAACGCTAATATTCGTTCAATTAGTTGTTTCATGATAACTATATTGAATAAAGGAATTTTTGATTAATAAATAGTCAAAAGTTAAGTAAATAAAGGACTCTTATTAGTACATGTACTTGCATGAACCTTATTTTTACGATCATCCAAGCGCTTTTGATTCACTTGTAATTTTTTATGCTCATTAAAATAATAATAACGAAATCATGTTATGTTAATCATAAACCAACAACACACCTCACCATTGAGCGTTCTGCATATGATGACCTTGACATTCTGGCTGAATCATTATTTTTTTTAACGCATTGTCATCGCGTTTTTATCTCACTGATACTTAATAGCAAACTTGTATCTCCAAGATACAATGTTTCTCGCATATTTTTTGAGCTTACCTAACAAAATGAACTTACGTTTTTATTTTTTTTTTTGTTTTTTTTTTAGGTGGAATACATACTAGTTAAGTTCAACGATGCAGAGAAAACAGCAAAAGTTTCGTTGAGGGCAGAAAAATACTTGTCACTTTTGCAAGAAAAGGAGCTGAAGGATCCAAAGTACGATGTTTAAACCATAAATTTTTCGTTCCATTTAAATAACGCCAATAAAATTAGTACCGTTCTTGTATTCATCATAAAACTTGAGCATTTTTACTTCTTCTGAAATTAAGAAGTCATATCCCGCAATAACTGAAACAAAATTGTATAAATTATTGAAAAATATAATCAAGAAAACTTTTGTTCAGCAACGTAAAATCTCTCTGGCGGCCAGAGTATGGAGCTTACATGATTGAAGGCACACCAGGCAAGCCCTACGGTGGACTGCTGGCACATTTCAATATCGTAGAAGCCAACATGCAATACAGGAGGCAAGAAGCTTCCAAGCTGCTAGAGCCCGGAGAAGTTATAATGTCGCTCACAAATTTTCCAAGGTTGGTTGAATTAAAATGAAAATTTTCTCTTGTCCAACGCAACCAAGTGTTTTTTTTAAATGCATTTTATGTGCAGATTAGGTGCTCCAAATTTCACAGATCCCCCAGCTGTTCCTAATCCACAGTCTGGCGCCTCAAAAAGTCTATTTTTCCCGGACGAAGCCATATTCTTGGGCCATCCAAGGTTCAAAACATTAACTAGAAACATTAGGAGTCGTAGGAAAGAAAAAATTGCCATCAACTTGCCAAGTACGTCATCATATCGTTATTTATCTGTAGGTGGGACATTTCAGGTTCAAAAAATATTTGTAGGCTGAATCCTTAGTCTTGGGTCACTTGAAGCTATGGAATACTTTTTATTGTAAATTATAAAGTGAACCCTTGATTTTTTTCTGTTTTTTTTTTTTCAATGTCTAATAAACTAAAAAAAACTGAATAATCGACTCGAGGTATACTTATTAAATATTTTTCTGAGGGCAAAATTGGTGCTATTTATATTTGGAGATAAAGGTTGCTCATATTTATTAGGTATATCAAGGTATTGAATGATGCTCAAATTGTGGTGTGTTGAAATTTTTTGTATTTACTTAGATTTATTGCAAACGTAGTAGTAGGGAACAGTTTTTTTTTATTTTTGCAATAGTCTATTCTTGAGAATATTTTCATCTCGAGATGATTAGAGGCTTGATTTACAAGTTATTCGAAAAAAACTTGATGAAATGAAATTTACTCACGACTCGAGGGTCGTTATTTACGTATTTTATTGACCTTTTTGGAGCCAAAAATTTTTATGTGAAAAAAAAAATTCCAAACACCAAACCTGAAAACTTCCTGCTTATTGTGAAAAATAGTGAGAATAACTGTTTTATAATTAAAATTGACAAATAAATTCAATGAACCACCAAAGCAGGGTTAATATTGTTAGAAATTTTCCAGTTTTCAAGGACAAAAACACTCTGCAGCCGTTCAAAGAAGATCTGGCTTCACTGGGGGATGACGGCTCAAGTACGAAAGCTGCCAAAGAAGATCATGTCTACATGGACGCAATGGGATTCGGTATGGGCTGTTGTTGCTTGCAGCTGACCTTCCAGGCTTGCAACATCGAGGAAGCTCGCACGCTCTACGACCAATTGACCCCCCTGTGTCCCATAATGGTAAATAATGATCGCTGCGTGAAACGTTAGTCCTCTCTTTCCGAGTGCTAAAGTCCCTCGCGCGTGTATTACAGAAAATATTTCTTTCCCGTTCGACAGTTGGCTCTGACGGCTGCCAGTCCATTTTATCGTGGCTACGTGACGGATGTCGACTGTCGCTGGAACATCATCTCTTGCTCCGTCGACTGTCGCACCGAGGAAGAGCGCGGCCTTAAGCCCCTCAAAGAGAACAAGTTCCGGATCAACAAGTCCAGGTACGATTCCATAGACTCGTACTTGAGCGAGCAAGGAGCCAGATATAACGACGTGCCGCTCGTCTACGATGATGCTATCTACGAGGAATTGCTCAATAATGGGATCGATAAGCTCCTGGCCCAACACGTGGCTCATCTTTTTATCAGAGATACGGTTTCTCTTTTTTCCGAAAAAGTTCATCAAAACGACGAACAGGATACTGATCATTTCGAGGTACCTACTTGATTATTGTTTTTCAACCATTAATTTAATTGCTACTATGAATAATAAGCGAAACAAATCTCTACTTTACCTTCAAATGAAACATTTTTATGTTTAATTGATTGCAATGACGAAAAATTAATGGCATGCTTGAAAATCATCTTACCTATTGCATACACTTAAAATTTGCAATGCTCGATACTCGAAATGCTAAACATTAATTATAAAATTATATTTATTATAGAATATTCAGTCTACAAATTGGCAAACTATGCGCTTCAAGCCACCACCATCGAACTCTTCAATTGGCTGGAGAGTGGAATTTCGGCCTTGTGAAGTACAGATAACTGATTTTGAAAATGCAGCTATCGTTTGCTTCGTGGTGCTTTTGACGCGAGTTATTTTAAGCTACAAACTCAACCTTCTGATACCAATTAGCAAAGTAGACGATAATATGGCAAGAGCCCAGAAGAGAAACGCTGTGAAGTCAGAAAAGTTTTGGTTCAAGAAAGACATAACGTGTAATACTCCTCAAGGTGATATTGATGAAGAATATGCCGAATACACGATTGATGAAATTGTAAACGGAAAGGTTTGTTTTAAAAACTCAGATTTACTTTATACTTTCTCTAAAGTTTTATACACTTCTTTGACATTGTGATTGATTCTTAGGAAGGAGCATTCCCTGGATTGATTCCTTTGGTAAATTCTTACTTGTCAAGCATGGACGCGGATGCTGACACTCACTGCACTATACAAAGATATCTTAAATTGATTCAAAAGCGAGCATCTGGTGAGCTTTTGACTACAGCTGGTTGGTTGAGGAAAGAAGTCATTAATCACCCTGAGTACAAGTAAGCTACATACAATTGTAAAATTGCTATAATTATCAAACATGGTTATTACATACGTGATTTTGTTTGTAGAAAAGATTCGAAGATCTCTGAAAGAATAAATTATGATTTACTTAAAAGAGTTCACGATATCGAATCAAGCAATACTTCATGTCCAGAATTGTTAGGGCCCTGTACAGAATCTAAAACTACAGAAACAGTTCCACCTGCAATGGCAAAGGCTGAAAATTGTTTGCTACCAGACTAGGCGCTGTTAGTATTAATTAATTTAAATAATATTACTGAGCCGAATAATGTATTATTATATTTTTAATATTTTTATTGTGTACATTTTGTACTTGTAATATACAAAGATTACTATTCTACCATTGTTCACCATACAAAATGCTCTATGTTTGCTCAGGAGAAAGACAGTTTTTTATAAGAGCGTAGTGTAATTGGTGTATGAAAATCGTTGCCTTGTACTGTCGTTAAACTATTGATCAATTAAATATTTGTTGGAGATCATTTTTTTAAAAGTGATATACAAAAATAAAGTTTGAAAACAATTCATTGATTTTTTTTTATTAAACATTTATGGTATTGTCTTTGTTTGTCCGATAAGATATATAAGTATTCCATAAAACAGCTACAGCTTGAACAACTAGGACTTGGTAATGTAGGGGTACAAGGTAAAAATTAATCAACTGCACAGCAGGCCATAGCTGAAAACAAATTTTTTTTCATTATGAGTCTCTTATAAGATATTGAGATTGTAATGTGTTTAGTTAAAATGTATTAGTAATACCTTATAATTATTTATCATTATTTCTGTATATTCATTTTCTAATTTTAATTTAATACCATCAAATCTATTTCCTTGCATAGCACCAATCATACTCAACAGTATGACTGTAAAACATGGTGCAAACAATAATTGGTCACAGATGACTTTCTTCAGAACAACAGCAGCTCCTTTTGAACCAATATACTTATCTAATATCCCATACCAAGCTTTCACTGTTGGGCCCTGAATAAAAAATATATTTACTTATCCACCTCAATATGTTACGATATAACTAGTTGTTAACCATGAAACGTAAATTTACTGTCACTCTTTGTATGATAGTACAAATTTCATTCTAAATGACAAAAATAAAAAGAAAAAAATTAAAGTAACTCACTACTATGAAAAAGCCTATGCAGGAGAACTGTCCCGTCCGGACGAGATCTAAATCATGAGGCGGCCTCTTCTCAATGACATTCTGTGCAATCTGATCACCTAATCCCATCAAGGTACCTATAAATTAGATAATTGGTTCAACACAAATTTTTGACGGAAAGTGTTACGCAAATCAAATCAAAAAAATTCACTCGCCAGCTTGCACAGCTTGCATTCCTGTAGGAAATTTCCGCAGGAGTGACTGATATGTTCGAAATATACGACTCATTTCACTTAAAAGCTTCGACAAAGCTACATCAAAATTATTAAATGTCACTGTGTCACTTCACACCAAAAGTAATAATAGTCTTTATAGTTTTGCACTTCATTCACATAACGTGCGGCAAAAATAGAGGTTAGTTTTCTAAAAAATAGAGTCGATAGTGGATTTTGTAAATTCGTACAATGGAAAAAGATAATTATTACAACTAAGGACGCAAAATCAATTAATACACAAATTTTGCATTTTATGTTTGAATGACACACGCAACGATGCAATATTACAGGCACTATAAAGTTCGTTCGTTCAAAATCATTTACAAATTGGCTCCTCGCACCGCAGCGGCGATCTACAATGTACTCAATCAATGTAAACATACACACACACACATGCGTACTTTATTATTGTAATACGTAATACGTATAATATATTATATTATACACAGGCGTAAGATGACATGTAGAGTAATAATCGGTAATAATATTCTATAAAAAGTCATAAGATACCAGTATTTTCAGAGAAATGGCATTTATAAATTATATAAATTCTGCCTGTAGATGTAAATTCATCCATGAACAATACAGGTTCGATTAAATGGTGAAAGGTAAACTCCGCAAATGGTTCATTACATCAAATAATTCAAATGATGAAATGAAGGAAATTGAGCCTGTCATATTCAAATTGTCTACTTGGACTCCCTGGATTGGCAAGATAGTTTGAAGTTGTATAGCTAGGTGTCATCTGTCAAATTCGTCAACGTCGAGTAACTTGAAACCAGAGTTCCCGCAAGTGGCGAAATTGGAGCTCAGTTAGTATATAAGACCGTTTAAGACAACAAGGGTATGCAGAGGTTCCCTCGAGTACCACCGCGGAGCAACTAAAGGGGTCCCTAGTGACTCGTCGGTTTAATTAACAGCTCTGAGCGAAGGTCCCTGGATCTCGGGCAGTAAGTGCCGCGGCGTAATCGCTGTTAGCCTCCACCGTCAGCTCTTTGAAGACAGGAAGTCTCTTCTTCGGGGGAGACTGATCTTTCGAGCCGGGTGCGAGTGTATTGGTCAAAGTAAAGTCATGTGCGGGTACAGCTTTCTCGCAAAGCTGAACTGAACAGGGCCTATTCCGAGGAAAATCTGCTTTTTTTTTACACATGGTTGATGTTTTTTGTTTAACAGAAATATTTTACATATTGATATGTCGAGTTTCCTATGGTTATTTTTAATAAGAGCTCTAATTCACTGTAGGTTAATGCTGTTATTAGGTTGTACATATTCATAAATTATGAAGGTAAGTGCTTGCATGCAAATAGGTATAATACGTTTATAAAAAGTAACTATAACTAACGCAAGCTTCTATCGGATGCAAATACGTGGGACATTTTGATGGTAAATCTAATTAAGTAGCTGCGAGGGTCGTATTGTAGGTACGTACGAGTAGGAGTAATTGGTTAATGAAAATAGGAATTACGTAAGGTCATTGGGACAGCTATGTTTAAGAGTAATTGTGACACTGGCCTGTAGTTGGATTTAGAATAATTGAATTACGTTGAAGAAGTTAGTGGTCCTGAAAAGGACCGGTTGTGTAAATAGACGCTTTAAGAGCTCTTCTCAGTTTTCTTGGGAAGTAGCACTGCCTGGATATTCGGCAATACTCCACCCTGAGCAATTGTTACGCCAGAGAGCAGCTTATTAAGCTCTTCATCATTGCGGATCGCTAACTGTAGGTGACGGGGAATGATTCTGGTTTTCTTGTTATCTCGAGCAGCATTTCCAGCCAATTCGAGGACTTCCGCAGCCAAGTATTCCATGACAGCAGCTAGATATACTGGGGCACCCGCACCCACTCGTTCAGCGTAATTGCCCTTTCGCAAGATGCGGTGGATACGCCCAACAGGGAATTGCAGTCCCGCCCGCGACGAACGAGTCTTGGATTTGCCCTTGACCTTGCCACCACCTTTACCACGGCCAGACATTTTGAGACGAGGATGACAGATGAACAATCAGCACGAAGCACCTATTAGGACTTTGCCTGAGTGAGACAAGCGCCCCTATTAAATACTCCTCGTAGCTTCTACTCCGTAACTTCCCTCTCCTTAGCTATACAACGAACCAATAGTAGCTCGACTTCCTCATGGAGAGGGGGAACTCTCGACGGCCGTTGATTTGGTGTGGCCGGTTAAATGGCTTTTGAAAAGTGGGGGTATTTTTCGGAGTGAATGCTCGAAGGCTGTTTTAAAAGAAACGCAACCTTTGCCATCAAAACAGTTCGCTTCATATCTGAAACAATAGTTGTCTTGTCTCTTGTACAATTACAATGCCACCAAAAGCATCTGGAAAAGCAGTGAAGAAGGCTGGTGTGGCCGCGAAAAACATTATCAAAGGCGAGAAGAAGAAACACAAGAAAAGGAAGGAAAGTTACGCTATTTACATCTACAAGGTGCTGAAGCAAGTTCATCCTGATACGGGTGTGTCGTCCAAGGCCATGAGCATCATGAACAGTTTTGTCAACGACATCTTCGAGCGCATTGCCTCTGAAGCATCTCGCCTTGCTCATTATAACAAGAGGTCAACTATTACATCCCGGGAAGTTCAGACTGCCGTGAGACTATTGCTTCCTGGCGAACTCGCCAAGCACGCCGTCTCCGAAGGGACTAAAGCCGTCACGAAGTACACTAGCTCCAAGTAAACATTACCATAACAAACCGGCCCTTTTCAGGGCCACAAGAGATGCAACCGTATTCACTCTTCCTCATATACTATAACCTTTCTCGCCTCCCCGAAACCATGTGGAGTGGCTACGCCTCATTGTTAATTTACTCCAATGTGAGATAACTTCCTCTTGAAACATCTTAATATTAACGAAATTTTAAGTTGCTATTATATTACATAATCATACTGTATTATTCGCATTGGATTACCTATTTTTTTCATATATTTTGACAATAGGTACAGCAAATTAAGCATATTCTCTGGAGCATATACTCGATTCATTAATAATTCACTTGATACCATCACAAAGCCAACAATACGGTAGTGCGTACGTGGTCACGTTCCATATGCAAGTCGCAATTGAGTTCTGATACCACTCAAAATATTTAGCATCTATCTTATCTGCTACAGTATGGTGCGTAAATGCGGTTTCCTGATCATGACGTTTTACTTGTGATTAGTGTAAGTGAATGAATAAGGTTGAGGCCGTAAAGGATACGGTGGACAGTTTGGGTACTCCTGAGGGGAGCGTACGAATTGAAGTCGCGGTTATCCGGCGAGATTATGAGATGGATTCGATGGAAGCAGGGGGGATTGAAGACCTAGGGTGTTGTTGGGGTCTTCAGGGTTTTGAGCAAGAGCGCAGGGGCGTCTTACAAGGTCGACCGGGTTGAATGTTCGCGAGTGCGGCGATGAAGGGGTTTGGGTGGATTGTAATGGAGGCGCGGATTTAAGACGCAAGGACGGGAGCTGCTTGTATTGGAGGGACGATGTTAAACTCCTTGATAATCTGGGTATTCCTGATGTACCACGGAATACCCAGGACCGACCTCAGTATCTTCATGAAAGGGCCTTGGATGCCCTTTGGTCGGTTTTCCTTTTGCAGCGCCCCACGTTGGTATCGCGTAGGTGCTGATGCTTTTGATTATGGCGTCGAAGGTGCGCAGCTCGGTCTTCTGGAATACTGCTTTGTTATTGAAGAAAGTTTTCTCCATTCCGGCTTTTGCGATTATTGAATTTACCTAGAGTATTTTCATCCAACAATTACCTCGTCAGTTGGTAACCCGCACAACTTTTTAGTTGCAATTTCTCGGTATATGAAATGCACAATCTTTTTTTACTAAGCTTGATAAATAATGTAATAGTATAACGTTATTTAAATAATTTGTAGTCCTGAAAAGGACTTTTTTTTAGTTTAAAGTGGACCAATTAACCGCCGAATCCGTAGAGGGTGCGGCCTTGACGTTTTAACGCATAGACGACGTCCATAGCCGTAACGGTCTTCCTCTTGGCGTGCTCCGTATACGTCACTGCGTCCCTAATGACGTTCTCTAGGAAAACCTTTAGGACACCACGAGTCTCCTCGTAGATTAATCCTGAAATGCGCTTCACGCCGCCACGACGAGCAAGACGACGAATAGCAGGCTTAGTGATTCCCTGGATATTGTCTCGCAAGACCTTCCGATGACGCTTTGCTCCACCTTTTCCAAGACCTTTACCGCCTTTGCCTCGACCGGTCATTGTAATAACTGGATAGTGACGCACGAGTGGACAGACACTTGACGAATGATGACAGCGAGATGGAAGTGCCCCCTTTTTGTTAACTTTTGCCAGTACACTTCTCCCTCCACTACTTGGTCTTCAAAATTTTCCCCTTCCATTGAGACGATTGTAGTCAAGCCTAAGGTTAGTTCGCAAACCAAATTTGAGCTGACCAAGTTGATTGTCACAGGCATTTGATTAGTCAACGAGTGAGTTATTTTGTGACTTTAAATCAACTTGGCCTTACTTTCGCCCAGTACTAATACATATTTTCTTCAAGGTTTCTCCAAAATACTAATCTTCATCGTAATTTTAAGCTCAGTGAAGTTCATACTTCACAATACCGTCATTTCCCATCGAAACGATGCATCACACCTCCAATCTACGTAAACAGCTACTAAGCATTGATTGAGCCTATTGAGCCTATTCCCGTGAAGAGCACGGAGAGGCTCTCACACATCTTGTTTTTACAATTTTTTACAGTTTTGCCCATTAACAACCAACTTTCGTCTGCACTATTACGTATAGTTTGAATAGCCTACTCATTTGAGTCGCATATGCACGTACATAATTGCTTGTTATTACACTACATGTCAGTGTACACACTCCTTTTGAGAACAGTACGATATAATAAAAACAAGAAAAACCGTACATCTTTATATAACAGACAACTAGAGGTTTGTGTTACTGATAAAATTACATAAATTCAACGTGAAAGTAGTCTCATGGCTTCGTATTGGTAGCTACATATATATTTCACACAGAGAAATAGTACATCTAGCAACATATAGTTACTAGAGCAGAGCATTAAATTAATTAGTAGAGATAAAAGATATTATTTGAATTAAATTATTTTTATTGGCTTTTGAACATGCTGGTTACATAACCATTTCTATCAAGAAGAGATAAAAGATAAAACGCCACTAGTGACTGGCGCAGTCTGGCGGCAAAGTTCGGAATCAGCAATCAGCCTCGCTAGATGGCGTGGTTGGAGAGAGTAGTCGCCGCCGGATTTGAATTGTCGCGTTGCAGTAATTCTCTGTGCTCCGATTTTCATTTGACTCAAAAGTAAAGCGCTCGAGTGAGGGTTGGTAAACAAAATGACCGAAGCTCTCTCGATGAAAAGAAAAAAAAATAAAGACGAGTCACCGGAGAGGGAAGCCTCTCGTCCGCGCAAACGTCTGAGACTCGAGGAAATAATACTAGGCGACGAGAATCTTCGGTGCGATCAAGAGGTCCAAACACCTCAACAGTCCAACTCTGTGAGTCACGTTTTTTATCCACTTGCTCTTTGTTTACCTTGCAAGTTTTCTACTAATACTCTTTAATACAAGCACAAATAACGTTGGTTATACTTAATTATTTACATTTCAGGTGAACAGACGCAACAAGCTCCTTACCGCCATACAACTGAAGAAAAGGTATAAGTACGTCTGTAAGAGACACGACATGGCTTATCTGATTGAAAGGAAGCGCAAACGCGACAAGCAGTCGAGCAGGCAAAAGCGCGATAATCTCGTCCAAAGTTTTCGCTCTCTCAACGTTGATTTGCAATCCGTCGAAGATGAGCAGCAAAATGATTGTAACAGTGTGACTCAACCTGAAAATGAAACTGACGTGAAAACGAGAGAGGTGTGTTTTTTTGTGATTTCTTTTTAAGATGCTTAATCACGTATGGTGTTTGAACGTAATTCTTGAGAGTATCGATTGGTGCAGGTGGTACTTTGTGCACAGTAACATTCAGTTTTCATGAACTTGGTTACAGTTCACCTTACTGAATGCTCTGTTTTCTAACAAAAAAAATTATACTCTTCTCCTCAACATCTGAATCTTGGATAATTGCATTTGTGTTTCTTTTTCAGTGCGATAGAAAAACTGAGGAGCCAGTAAATGAGGAGCTTTCCACCGTACCAAGTATAACCTTGAAACGGGCAGTCAAACGAAGATTTCCTCCAGAGTACGATTTTGAGGTTTCTGACGGAGAGACAAGTAAAGTAATTGAGGAAAATCTAGATGATGTAGATTTAAAGAAATCTAGGATGCTGATGAAACCTTACAGTAATATGTTTCGACAAATGGTTGCTTGTAGAAATAAGAATTTCTACGAGCAGGACAGTGATTACGAAACTGATGGACATAAGAGGCTGTGGTGCAAAAAGAAAAAAGCTACCCAGATACTTACCGTCTCCAAAATGGCAAATGCTAACCAAATTTGTGAAGGTTCAAACTTTATCTGGGTTTCGGACGACGATTATCACTGTGATTGTCAATACCACGATGATCTTAAGGAAAAGTGTCAGGATCACGAATATGAATTGTCATCGTCGTCGTTTTCATCGTCAGATGATGATTACGATAATAATAATTGTCTGTCTCCTTGTACTAAATTTAAACTAGAAGCATTCACTAAAAGGGTATTAAAATCGTAATCTTTACTTAATAGTTATATTAAATAGAAATCATTCACAGAGTATAATAGATTGTTGAACATATGAAAAAATTACACAAACTTAAATGTTGCAGAAATTTATTCGTATGTTTATCTATTTATTACATATTTATATAGATATAATCTTGTGTAAAATTTATCTATCAAAATAAAAACAATAAACGTAAGTCTAAATTTTTGAGATTTAGTTGGAGATAAAAAGGAATAAGAAATTGGGATTTTAAAATAATAAGAGAAGTACGTGTTTTAACACGAGGAATCGAGGTGAGAAAGGGTAAGAGGAGAGGAAAAATCACACTTATGCCGAATCATCTTGAGAAATGCACAATTTCCTTTCATATACCATAACAGTGCTATTAATTATTTGGATTCTCATTACTGGAGAGAACTGTGGTTATACTCTTTGCACTAAGCAACTGAAAGAGTCATATCAAATTTTATTATCGCATGCACGTCTTCACTTAATTCCTTATAGACATTTCGTTTCCAAAGATACATCTCCATGTACTAATATTTATATTAGCAATCATCGTACACAGTCATTGTGTAAAAGTCTCATGGCAAAAGACTACACCCTACCACTGCTCATTCGTACGATTCTTTTTTTTTTATTGATATCACAATCGATCGATACTGGCGCTTGTTTGATCTATTTTTCTCTTACCTTTATTTGCTTTCATATTTAATTCATTATTTTTTTATGAATTTTATTGTTTCTCATGTCGCTCAAAGATGCAAAGTAGCTCAACACCCACGCCCCGCAATAATAAATACCTGGGTTATTTATTGTAATTATGTGTACTTGCGCAAAGGAGTTTATGAATTTGCCATGATTTTTAAACTTCTTTTTTTTATTATTTCCATTTTATTGATATGAATAGTACACTGCGTATACATGTAACACTGGCCTTAATATCTAATTTATACAGTCAAACCTCTTTGATTGATTCAAGTACTCGCGGCTCCGATTTAAATTATTATTAGAAGAACAAAAGTTTATAATTCTACTTTTAGTCTCCAAAAGGAATCAGATGAGTCTTGACATCATTTGTTATTTTAAAAAATTTATTGTTAATAAAAAAGTAGATCAACAAGAAAATATGGGACTTAATCAGAATCGAACTGAGACTTTTTGGAGACAGCATCCAACAAGTGCAACAAACTAGTTGGAACCCACTTTCTTTAAAAGTCAAAGAGAATCTGATTTTGTTTGTTAGTAATAAGGGAGATGCTCGCATTTTTTGCCTCGTAATGATATACCGTAACGTTACATTGAAATATAACAGATTCAAAAACTGAGATTGGTATCATTCGGCGACAGCATTCGGCTTGGCCCTTTACCTACAATTTTTTATACTTTAATACTCTACTTCTCTACTGTACAGCACATTTTTTACACTTGGCTTATTTCCAACCTCCTTCGAGCTTTCGCTATTGTTTATTACAAACTACAAGATTATTCAAGAGTATGAGATTGCGCACCTTTATGGTGTTTCTTGGAGTCAAGAGAATAATTCTTTTTACAGCTCAAAATCTTTATTTTTGTCTGAAAGTTTTAATGAGACTCGGTTTGGATCAGTCGAGGACAATCTTCCAACTCGTGCAGTTAGTATTACATTTTCAAAATTTTGTTTCCCAAAAGTTATATTTTTAATGAAAATATGTAAAACTAATAGTCAAACAAAGTGTTTTTCTCAACAATTTTTTGCTCGCTTTGTATATAAAAACTCAGTTGGAGGAAGAAGAAAGATCCTTGACTAATCCCTTGTAAATTAGAGATCGTAATAATCCTCGCGATTGCCCTTTTTCTCTGCCATTTCAGAAACAAAACACACGCACTCGTGTTCTCTTGCACATTCTTTTACTTCTTATTAGTCAGTTTAGTTTTGTTTTACTGTTATCATTTAAATGTGTTTTTTTTTCTTTTGTTGTTTTTTTTTTTTTCATATGTACAACTTGACATAACAGTAATATTATCGTAATCCTAATAGGTTTTTCCTTGGCTAACGCATATCTGAACGTCTGACGTTCACGCGTCCATTAAATTTTATGTTTTTATGTCTTGTGAAAAAATTATCAATGCCGTAACTATGTACACTGCTTACTTGATAAATTCGAAATGCGTACAAGCAATTCCCTTGGATCAACAAAGACAAAAGAAAACATCACACAATGTATCAAACCAACTAAAACTCGATAGTTGTTTGTTAATATTATCATCATACAGTAAACTGGCAACAAGTAACAGTCCTTATTACAACACTGCGCAAGCACGCACCGACTATTTATGTATTTACTTTTTTTTTTTTTTTTTTTTTTCGAATAACGAAAGACGTGTATAAAGTTCCAGAGAAGGTTTATAAAAAGTGAGATCGATAATTGATGGGATGTTTTCTAAATGCAAAAATATATACCCAAAAACAATGATTTTCCTTATCCTAGTCTGTAGGTTGAATTGTCAAAAGAGTCGATTTAATAATTTTATTTCTTAAAGATAACTTGGATAACTTTCGACGCAGTAATTGTAAAAAAATAACCAATATCTACACCAATAAAGAATTTGCTTTGAACAAACGAGCTTTGGCTTTATTTCGTCATAAATTTTTTTTTAACAATTCATCCTTCAGTCGGCAAATCAAAATAATAGTCACGAACCCAAGGCTTGATCAGATTATTAACCCGACAATAATTAAAATTCGTAATAGATTTTTTTTAATTCCTAGACAAACAATTATACGCACGATATGCATATGATAATAAATGTATAAATAAAATTTCAACAATATCATAAACTTGCTATGCAATAATCAATAGTCAAATAATAATGCGTTAAAAATCAGAGCGCAAGTATATGATTATTAAGAAAACTCAGAGTACGAAATTTTCCGAAGTACGAAAATAACGCGATCACCAATGATCAAGGTTCCGGGTTCACGGGGTTCACGGTGTGTACAAAAGAACATATATTTTATATATGTGTATATATATATATGTATATATATATCAACATCCTTCGAACCGTGGGCGCGATGCTCCAAACGAGAGCCGTGTATATATAATTATGTATACATACATATGCGCAGAAAATCGTCAATAGCATCGATAAAAAGACGCAAAAAGATGAGAAAACAAGAAACGAGAGCCTTAAAGTACAGAGGCTTCCGTGCGCCCGGCAGCCGGTGGCGTCGTAGTCGCGCTTGCCGTGGCCACCGCAGCCGTTGCCCCGGTATTATTGTTGTTGTTATTGTTGTTGCTAGCCTCGCCAGCGTGGCTGGAACAATAGAACTTCTTGTGGGCGATGAAGGTGCTCATGTAATTGAAGCTTATGTCGCAGGAGCGACAGTAGCGGGGACCTGATTTCCCGGCTTCGAGGCCCTCCTCCACAGGCACCGGCGCAGCTGCGGCGGGCTGTTGTTGTTGGGCCGGAGGACTGTCCTCGCGCTCCTGTTTGACTTTGCCGGCGCACGATACCGGTGATGGGACGCTTAGTGCCGGCGAGGCTGCTGGCGATACGACGACCGGGGCTGGTGGCTGGGGACTGCTCTGCTTGCGCGTCGTTGCAGACTCGCCTTTGCCGTTTATCTGTTGTTGCTTTTGGGGGTCCGTGGATATTATTTCCTCGGGGGTCGTCGCAGGGGCTGGCTCTGGAGTAGGTGCTGTCACGTCGTCCTCCAGCACGCATGTTATGTAGTTCTCCTCCTGAAATTTTTCAAAACAATCAATTTCTTGTTTTTTTTTATTTTTTTATTTTTTTTTTTTTCTCTTCATTTACAAATAATCTATCAGAGTGTGGTTTATTATTAGTTTTCATCGGTCGCGTGGTTTATCAATTCGAGTAAACCTTGAGATTGCGTGACGATTACGCGCGTATTACCTAATTTATATCCGTGGTCAGATCAGACATTGAAATTCTTATCTTTGCTGATACTTGCCAGTTTATCTAAGAGCAAACTCAAAAGATAACAACAAATACTCAAGTGCTTGCACTTATCAGTGATAAAACAGATAAATTTGAAGCTTCTTCTCAATATATGCGTGTGTGTGTACATATATAGGTATACGTTGCATCGATAAAATCTGATAAACTGATAAATTTTAAAACGAGTAGCGTGTTATTTTTTCTAGATCAAATTGAACTCTTGAAGATACTCAAACACACATCTCGTGATGAAAAAAAAAAAAAAAAAATACCAGCGCTGCTTATCTCTCTATGTTTCATGCAAGATCACACATCTCAGGTACACCGAATCGTCAAGCAGCCTTACAAAATTATATTAACGAACCTGAAGATCCGCGCCGCGCTTGTCAAAGTGCATCCTGATGTGGGTTCTCATGCCCCTCAGCGTGTTGCCCTTGTACCGGCAGATCGTACAGCGAAACGCTTTGACCCCCTGGTGTGACTCCATGTGCCGCTGAGCCGCGCCCGCGGTTTGGCTTCCTGCGCCGCACACCGGACATCGCCAGCCGCCCGTTTGACCGGTGGCGCACGTGTGCGAGACTCCCTGCTCGATGACGCACTGAAACGTTCAATTTGCCTTTTTATTTTCAACTCAAGTAAGGGTATTCCCTGTTTTCGCGGGATCGACCCAATGTTCAAACGACGTACACTTATCAAGCACAATATTTTTTATCTCGAAAAGATTTTTTGATACGAAAAGAGAAGTCACTATGAAATTGCGATGATCGACCAACCTTGCACTTGGGACACCTGGAATAGTGTTCCTGGGTCTCGGGTCGCTTTGGACAATAAAACGCCTGATGCGCCACGAGGTTGTCCATCGAGGCGAACTTGATGCCACACGCGGCGCATATCAGCTGGACTAGGGGCGGCGAGGGCGTGCTCGGGGACGGTGGACTCGTCACGCTGCTCTCGCGCGCTTGACAATAGTGCTTTTTATGAGCCACAAAGTTCTCGTGTCGGCAAAACACAATGTTGCACTCTTTGCACCTGCAACACAAATCATCATCATCATCATCATCATCATCATCATCATCATCATTGTTATTTCCATATACTATTATTATTATTATTATAATTAACTTTGCGATCCAACGGAGCTTGACTTTGGTGTTGGATTGAAAAACAAAGCCAACACACAAATGTCACGTTCCCTTATCGTCTACAGGTTTGTCACACAACTCGAAACGTGATGTGATTGTCTATATTTGTAAACTGATACGCCGGTTTATCTCGCCTTGCGCGTCCACTATTTTTATTTACACGCTCGACGATCAAAGCACTTTCAAGTCGAGAATTGAAAAGAAAAAAACCCCTGTACAGCATACATACCTCGAAACTCCCTGTTTGACGAGAACGCTGGGCACCGGCGGGGGTGGCAGCTCGGCAAGCCTCAGCGCAAGCTCGGTGGGCGGCGTGGGTAGGACGCGCTCGGGAGCTTGGGCGCCGGGCAGAGAGCGGGCACGTGGACTGGCGCTGCTTCGCGAACGTGGACTGCTCGCCGTTGGCGGGGCGCACGGCAGCGACGTCGACACCGGCGAGATGCGGTTTTCCTTTTCGTGGTCCTGCGAAAGGGGAAGAGACAGAGGTTGTTGTCGTTGTTGTTGTTGTTGAATTGGTATACTTGACGAAGCTTGCACACAAGTGCCCGTGCTTACCGGTGATCTTCTGACGCTTAGGTCGAGCGGCGTGGAGGAGCCGGCGGATGAGTTTGGCGAGCCGGCCGGCGGGATTCCCAGGGGCGTGCCGGGCTTGTTGTTGGCAGCCCTGAGGACGCCCGTGTGCTCGAACTGCGTGGGCCCGGGCGTGAGCGACGGTGCGGGAATCTGCGTGACGGGGGTCGTCGTCGTCGTCGGGCCGGTCGACGTTGTGACAGTGACCAGACCCCTCGTCATCGGCTGGAGCGTGCCGTTCGGCAGGAGGAAGCAGGGCGAGTTCGGGGCGGGCAGACCGGGCGCCGCGAGGATCGAGGCGCTTTGCACCAGGGAGTACGGCACTATGAGAATCGGATTGGTGGGCAGAGCGAGACAGGGCAGGGGCGGCGGCGAGTCACCGGGACTCGAACTCGTCGGGGGCGAGCCCTTGAACGAGGCGGGCGCCGTCGAAGCTGCCGCGCTCGCTGCCTGTGCCGGCGCGCCCCCCGATGGCAGGGAGTCCTTCACCACGTGTCTCGTGCTGCAGTAGTGCGTCTTGTGCGCCCTGAACGTCTTTAACGAGCTGAACCTGTGAGAAACACATTATATGTATTATTGGAACAAGTAAAAGTGTACTTTGCCAACTGAGATCGGTATGCATTCGGTATAGAGTCTACTTGTTTTTAATGTGGGAAAAAAAGACACTTGATGCAGATCGAGATGTTCCATATGACTGCACACAGTAGGTATTTACCTGATGTCGCAGTTCCGGCAGTATCTCTCGGCCTCCTCGTTGAGGGCGCCGTTGGAGGCGACGGCGCTGTTGTGCTGCGCCGGCAATTGGGCCGAGTTGATCGGCAACGCCGGACCGGTAGGCTGGATCGGCTGCACGGGCGAGGAAGCGTGCATCCTCATGTGCCGATTGAGCGACACTTTCTTGTCGGCGCTGTAGGTGCAATGGGGACACGCGTAAGCCTTGCGCTGCAGGACCGTCTCGTTCCTGTGACCGCCACTGCTGTTGCCCGTGGCCGAGTTTGGAATTTTGTTGCCGTCCTCGTTCTCCTCGTTGTTGTCGGCGTCGCTCTCGAGTCGCGGCCGGTGCGAACAGTAGTACGTCTGGTGGGCGTCCAAGGTGCTCGCCGAGCTGAATCTTATGCCGCAAGGAGGACAGATCAGGGCCACTGGCCGGGGCGCCGCCGCCGCTTCGACGCTCTGAAGGCTCAAGTCCTTGCTGCCGTCGTTCGGTAGTACGAAGAGATGGCCAGATGCTATTGCTGCGTGCCGAAGGATAAGAATATTTATTTATGAGGCCTCTTATCGCGTATCATTAACGTGCGAGAGGAACCGTGTACAGCTATCGGAATCTGATCGGTAAGGGACGGCGAGCTGATGCTATCGCTTGAATCGATTATTTATTTATTTATTTTATTTTACTTTCTAGTTTGGCGACTGTTATTCTATCGGGATGAACATCAGTTGATCGAGACAACAGCGGCAGATTGAAACACGTTTGATTGGGAAAAAAATTCTTATCGACGAAGATCGGTATCGGTATCGTTTAGCCGCTGACTTGCCGATCCAACGGATAATCAATTGTCGTCCGTCGTTCACGTGACGTATATGGAACATGAATTACTGTCGTATATAGTAAGGTACCCAAGACGTTTCGCAATACATTCCCATACCGATTTCATGCCAACTAATAGGTCATTCGTACGGAAAAAATCGAAAATGTTACCATTCTGTAGACTAGCGGAGAGCGCAGGTGTCGGATTCGGCGGCGACGGTGCGTTCTCGGGCTTGATGGTGAGGGCGGCGACGGGCTGAGGTCTGAGCGCCGGATCCGTCGCCAGACTAGTATTGAGTCTCAGTCTGGGAGTGATGGGGGAAGCAGCAGCAGCACCAGTGACGACGCTGGGCTCATCCTTCAACCGAGGCCTCTTCGGCTCCTGAACCACGATATCGTCCATCGAGGAGGACGAACCCGCGCGCCTCTCCTGCTCCTTGCGCTGCTGGCTCGATCCCGTAGTCGACGAGGACGACGACGCTGAGGCTCGACCGCAAGCCTCGTCCTCGCGCACTGTCATCTCCTCGTCGATTGTGCTGAGATCGGGACCTCCTCCTCCTCCCCGGCCTATTGATTTTGGGCTCAGGTCTTGCACCGAATTCGGCCGCGAGGGTCGTTGCTGCGTCGGATGACTGCGCTCACGATATGCCCGCGTGCTCTGTAACATTTTTTTTTTTTTTTTTTTCATAAGATTATTGACCGATTAAAGGGCAAAGTGTGCACACATGTACACATGTAATAAGCTCCGAGTCAGAGGGAGCAAATTTATAACATCACTTGTCTTGGGTGGACTTATTTTTGAGTGTCTCGCGTCAACATTTGGCATTTATTTTAAATCTTGAACGGATCACCGTTTAATTTTAACTAAAAAGTTGTTTCGTGATTTGTCTTACGTCACCGATTTCAATACTTGATTCATCGGTGATAAATCGTTTGCTTTTAAAGTTGTTTCATCGGGAAAAAAAAAAAAATTGTTCAATCATTGATTATTTACGAATCAAGAAATAATAAACTTGGACTAATAAATCGTAGAAGCATCGTAGAAACGATCGTTTGACGAATCGAAGATATGATAAACCGATTTATTCGGATCTCAATTTAAAATGGCCGATATTAATCGCAATGGCGATTTTGGCGTCGATAAATAAATTTTGTAAAAATAAATCTCGATTTACTCGAGCTGATTCACGAATCGGTATGGTTAAAAATCGGTTTACAATGTGCTTGATATACGAAGATTAATCGAAGAAAAACGGGGTCCCTTCGAGCACAGTTTTGAAGCACACAGTCATTGTCTTTAGTCAGATCTAATTTTCACGAGCTCCCCCGCAGCGTATCGTTCATTTCATTTCCAAAGAAGATATAGATAGCTCGAGGCAAAGAAAGAAGCATCTCAAAATCGTCGGGAAAATCCACTTTTTTAGATTAAGGTTTTTTAATCTCAAACTTTTCTCGAGATAACATCGACGACCAGAAGCCTGTGCGTGTTGTGCTTTTACACTCTTACGAATACACTAAAAGGTTTTTCTAATTTAAATCCCTCGTAAATGGGTTTATTACACGGAGAGAGGAGCAACGGTAATTTTTATCGTGAAACTACGGTTAAGTTGAGACGACACTTCAGTCACCGTCATTTTGACAGTTAATCATACGGCTTTTATCATCCTCTTACAAAGTAATTTCCATCACAGCATTACCGTAACAAAGTCCTTATCTCAGGAGGACTAATTTTCTTTCGCGGTAAAAATCACCTTAGCTCGTACGTTTACACGATTTGTCATGATTATATTTCTGTCGAATAAAAAATTAGGTTTTTGAGATTACCATTGATTAATTAAGATCACGCTCCCGGCCCCGTGTAAGCGATTATATGCGCTATAACATATCATTGTTAAACCAGTCATCCTTAAAAATTAATTGTTATCATTGATAAAATATGCTTAAATTTCATGGTTGACTGATATAAACTCAATGAAGGCGGTTCCTTGTTACACGTGACACGTTTGGACGTGCCATACCTACATATCCCTAGTACGAGGGCCAATATCTTCCGGAACCCATAAGTATGGTAACTAGTGCAGTAAAAAAAAAAAAAAAAAAAAAAAAAAAAAAAAAAGAAGAAAATTGTAAAAATTACTGGGCAACGTAAAAAATTCTTGTACGACAGAGTGACACCGGGTTACAGTGTTAATTATTACACGAGACAGTGTACGAAAGGTGCGTGAATCGCAAAAACCCCTTTCTCGTTTCCCCCTCGTCTCGTGGATTTTTCAGATGTTTCGACCTATGCAAGTGTTTCGACACACCACGGCATGCACGCAGCTTTTTTTTAGTTCCGTTGTCGGACGAGGAGGCACAGATGCCCGGCCTGAAAGTTACTATCGTGAGATCGGCATCTCTTGATATAAATTTATGTGTATAGATATACTCCATCGCAGTGTTTTTATACATAATATACACGTACACGCGCGGCAATGTGTGTTCGTTTCCGTACAGTTTTCCCCGACAACTGTTGTACCTACGTCCGAGTTGACGGTGATCCGTGCGCGACGAGATTCGGTTCACGTGTACCGCGACTGTGTTGGTAAGTATACACACTGTTTGTGGTTATCTGCGGCAGCGCATCTCCGATCGTTAAATGATTAAGTTTCGGTTGTATATACATATGGATCCATAAATATGTATCATTTATATTTACAGCTGGTGATACATTGCGTTACGACAAAAATGTGTTTTTAATTTTTTTTTAAGAGATTGGAAACCTGCATTATTACCTTACATGTGGATTAATGTCATTGTAACCATAATTAAAATAGCGTTTTAAACACTATATTGGATCATCTCGGCAATGATTCCCAAAAGAAAATGAAAAAAAAACAAAACAAAAAAAAACCGAAAATCATCAATTCATCCGACAAATCAAAGCGCCCAATATCATCTCGATCATGGAAGGCGATAAGATCGTTCCATCTGTGTGTATACGTGTACGCGTTTATCGTCGAATCTCGCCCACCAACGAAAAATACAAAAACAAAAACTAAGCCGTACAATATACACCGGCTCGTATCTGCCAAAGACATCCGAGCTGCCGGAGATATTCCCCCCGTACCGATCTATATGCGAGATAAGATCGCACTCGGCGCTTAGACATGAGTGAATATATATATATATACGCATCTCCGTAATATCTCGAGGGGCCATGCACCCATCAGGTCTTTATGAAACAAAACAACAAAACGCACAGTATACACGGATGGAGTGGAAGAAGAAACGAATAGAAAAAGAGAGAAAAAACACTCGAAAAAACAACCTCGTAGTCATCGGTGAGAGTAGCCAGGCGTTTCCTGGTGTCCTCCGGTAGCGCGTTCAGCCTCAGCCTGATGTCCTCGATCTGACTGCCACTGACCACATTGAGCCGAGGAGGCGGCGGCAGCTGGTGTTGTTCCTGATCGTCGCCGAGTTGCTGTTGTTCCCGTCCCGTGGGACTTGACACTCCCGAGCCACCACCCTCGAGGCCGCTGCTCACGGACGGCGCCTTCTCCGTGTCGCTCCACTCCTCATCTTCCCCTGAAACACATTTTTGTGGTGAGCGCGAGATAAATTTCATACATTTTTTTTTTTTTTTTTATATTCTCGTGTATCGGGTATTATCGATAACTTTGAACACCAGCTCGGTGCCAGACAACGACGAGATAACGATCTCTAAAACCAATTAGGGATTTCCCGCGTTTGTGATACGCTTGCGTTTGTATCATCCCGTGTTATTTACATCGAGAGTGACAAGTATACCCAGACCTGATAACTTTTTTTTTTTTTTTTATCTTGCACCACAGTGAAGTGTATACACATCACACTTTCGGTCGTTTGCAACGAAAAAGCTGAAACCTCTTGCAAGATGTTAAAATTTAAACCTACCGCGGTCACGTTTCGTTCGAATGATTGCACTTTCAGCAGTGCCGTATCTCGGTAATCTCCGCGAGATAGCGCAGAGACAAGAACGAACGACGGCAAAGATTTTCGTAAAAGATCACGTACCGATTCACGTATACTTATTCTCTTTTCAATGTTGCTCGTTGCTACACGACTTTGTTAATATTTTTCGTTCGAGTAGCCAGAGCTACGGGTCACCTACAAAATTTAAAATCGGTATACAATGGATTCTCGAAACCCCAAAAAGATGATCAATATTCCTTAATGAAACGAGGAGCCGAGGAAAAAAAAAAAAAAAAAAAGAAAACAATGCAATCCAAGCGATGTCATCGGTCATTATAGCAACGGAGATAGAGAGAGAAGAGGAAAAAAAAGGTTCAACATACGACAGGTGTCAACGAGCGAACCGTACATTTAAAACCGGAAATCCTCCGGGTAACCAGGACCATGTCTGTGTGCATATGTACACGTGATTGCAATGGCGTATCCTTCCTTCTCCCGAGCAACACACAACCGCACCAACAATAAAACCACCATGTAAACACCGCGGAACATAAAAATAAAAGCACCAGCCCGCCGTGAGGGGGCGTAGCGCGGTAGTCGGCCGCTAGAGGCGCTCTCGCTCTCCTCACGTGTGTATACACGAGAGCGCTTATCCTGCGGCACCTTTTCGAAAAAAAAGGCACCGTAACAACATCGACTGGTCGTCGCGAATAAAAATGGCAAAAAGCAAAGCACGAGCGTCCGAAAAATAAGTATTTAGGGCACTTTCATACACCTCGGGGTGAACACACGAGAGCGCGCGTCGCTTAGAGCGTCCGCGTCCCTAATGGAGCTCGGCTCTCGCGCACGTTGGTGCGTAAGCTGTGGATCTCCCCTCCGAGCCCAAAGTGTGTGAGTGTAACCCCCCCCTCGCTTTCTCTCTCAACTTCCCCGCCTTATTCTAAATATATGAATGGATAGATACATACACACGTACATTTGAGTGTGTTGTAGAGAGAGACGGTATCTTTCGAACGACTCGTCTCGCGTATCGCAACTGCCGGCGCGGCTCTCGGGGCTTAGATTCCTTATCTTTCTCTTTCTGCCCTGTCCGTCTCTGTCCTTCAACGATACACCGGTTACCCAGAGCCCCCCCCCCTGTATGTAACACACTACCCCCTCTATCTTTTTCTCTCCTCCACCGATGCGTGTGTATATCCATGCACACACACACACACACCTATCATCTCGGCCCCTTTTTCGCCCTTATCTCTCTCGCGCACTCTCTTCGCTTCTCCTCTATTATACGTGGAGGTATATGTATGGCTTTCCACTCCCCTTTTGGTTCTGATTTTCCAGGTCGATTTTCGGTTTCTTCCTCTCACTTTGCTTTTCTCGGTTTTCCGTTTGCTAATTTTACAGGCCACCGAAGGAAAAACGATAAGCAAAGCTGATACACGTCCATAAGGGTGGTTTTAACAATTAGCGGGTTGTTTACCGAGTTTGGGGGTATTTTAAAGCGCAGGGGGTTACTCCTGTCGGAGGGAGGGCCCCTTGAGATCCAAGCTCTGATATAAACCCAACGTCCGACTGTCCTTGCGGTTCGATACTCGTACCTATGTGGATTGAAATTTGAAGCATGTCAAGAGGGTGCAGCTAAAATGTAATTGAAAAAGGAGGTTATTGGTGTACGAATTATTTATGGACAAAACATGCCCATTGATGTTCATGTGACAGACAGGTGTTGATAAGACAATAGGCTTACAATTTACGGAACATAAGTAGATGAAGTGAGAGTAGGTAAGACAATGAAACCCAGTAGCACAACCCCGAGACAGATGGATGTCTGGTAGAAAAAAAAAAAAGCAAAAAGGAAAAAGTTTTAGAGGATTTGATGTTCAAAGGGGAGTATTGCAAATATATTTGCCACCTATAAAACTCGAAATCAGTTGATTCTAGTTTTGACGAGTGACAGGTGTTAAAACTAGTTTAGACTTTTCCCGATGAACAGTTCTAGTTTTCTCTTAATTACCAAGATCATTTACCAATGTCTGTCCAGATTGTCCTGAGCTTGTTGACAGTGGGTGTCTGCTCAACTGTAATAAGCTGGTCAGTGCTTCCCCCTTGCACCTGCGGGGGTAGTGTATTTACGTGATAATTGTCGAGTGCTCTCTCCTCGTCAGGACGTCGGATTGGTATCAGGACTAAATCGCAAAGCTGTTGCTCTTTCTACAGTTTTTCGTTTTGATTTTTTTTTATTTTTGGCGTCGGCCTATCACGCAGTCCGGAGGAGCAAATTTGTCAAGCTTATCGCCTCGCCAAGCTCGTCAGTTAAATCGATCATTTCGTAAGCTTTGTTCGCTTCATTTTTTATCTCGGCTCCTCTATGATTAAGAATTTCTTTGTGTATACCTGCATCGTCAAAAGTTGAAACGAAGCCTATGCAGTCCATACCTAAATATCATGTATATTGTTATTTTCGACAAGAGATTTGTTGATTAAAATTCATAGGCTTCGACTTTATGGTGCAAAAATTTGCTTCCATGGTATACTTTTAAGTTTATTCAAACGACAACTTTATCTCAACGGCCGATTTTCGACAGATCAACCGATCGACGTGAGAAATCTCTCGACAACATAAGGCTTGGACATTGCTACGTAGAGCCAACAGGACATCACCACATCTACTGCTTGCCGGAGGTGATATGAAATGTATACATCAAGCAACAGAACCCCCATTGTTCACTTCTATAGCTAGATTATTTACATTTATCGATCATTCCAGCGATAAGCCTCGATAAAATTCAAAGTCATCCAAGACGAGTTTAGCATTACCTTAACCACACAATCAGCGCTTCCAAAGGAGGGAATAAACAAAGAAACCGGTCATTCGGAACTACGTGATTCACGATTAATCATAACCGTGATGCTTTGCTCTCCTCATTTTTTCCCATGACTCATTTGGAGCACTACTTGTTTGTTATCACCTCTCTCTCTCTCTGACTATCAAAGAGACAAGTGATAACGATAACAAAATTAAAAACCGTCAAGACATCCAACGGCCGATCGATCGAAATTTTCCGAGGTAATTCGATCTCGCAGAAAAAGAGAGAGGAAAGAAAAGCAGCGCGTCAAGGAGTGTAAAAATGGAGTATACCGAGATGAAATCGGCAGCGTACGCTGGAAAAAGGCGCGTAAACACGCGCCACTCGATCCACACCGCGGCGGAAGACGAAGGATTTCCGCAGCAACAGCGTCGAAGGGAAACAAAGAGGAGGAGGAGGAGGCTGCGTGGCAGCTGCAACATAGGCAGGGTCTGAATAAAAGTAAAGAGAGAGAGGGGGCATGGTATTAATTAAGAGATAAAAGTCACACGAGCACTATACGACGACCACACCGAGCATATCTCGTCCCGACTGCTGCCGTTGCCACGTCTAATTTCTTTTTCACCTCCTCCTCCTCCCCTTCACGAAGACGACGACGTCTCAGTCTCATCTCATTGATGCACATGAGTATACATGCACGTGTATATAAGCTCCACGCCCCTCCTCCCTTACGGCCGCGAAATCTCTCGAATATCGATGGAGAGCAAAGGAGGAGGAGGAGGAGGAGGAGGAGCTGCTCTCGGGACGACTACGTTTTAATTGCCTAGGAGAGAGCCCTGAAATCCCGAGAAGGGAGATACTCGCCGACGATAGAGTCATGGGGAGGGAGCATGATCCCTGTGTTCTCCTTATTCTTAGCTCGTATACAACCCCTCTCTCTCTCTCTCTCTCCTTTTCTTCTTCTGTTTTTCTCGTTATCGCGGCACTCGCATCTCTTCTTACATATACATACACGTACAGAGGGTTGGAGCAAATACCCCCCTCGGCTCTGGAGTTGTCGTCGATGTCGTCGCCTCGCGCATGTAGCCATATTCTCTCTTTTGCCGTCTCTATCTACTATATACACCCCATAATGTGCAATGCGCTCGCTTAAGTATACATATTATATAAAAGTAAGTGGTCATTGGGCACCTCCTAAATTTATACGTATGCGCGCTGCGAGAGCTCTTTTCATTTTTATAATTTCACCGGCACGCGAACCTCACCACTGCTACCTAAACCTCCTTATAGAAGGATAGATTCGCTTCCCCCCCCCCCCCGATGTTTGGTTGTTCCTTTTGCTCCCTGTGTAATGAGTATATTATATACTTATACGCGAGCCAATAGCCCTGAGACTTTAATTGAGAGGTGAGGTTGTATAGGTATTGCATATCATGCGAAAACATTTTTCGAGCCATTTGGGGGATGTACACTCAATTGGTGACACGAATTTTTAGTTTTTTTTTTTTTTTTTTGATTTAAGGATTTTTCGAAATTTTCCATAGTGTACGATTTACGTGCTAGTAAGATCGGGAGATTTAGGTATGAACTCGTCGCATATTATCGCGTTTAACTGCGTGTCATCGACAATAATTGTGTATCTAACTTGATTTTTTAAGTAACAATTAAATAGACATCTATAAAAAACGATGATAAGTATAATCAACCATCGGGAAAAACTGATCTTTTATAGATCGCCTCTAAGGTATTCGCCGACCATATAGATTCGACTTGCGTCTATCCTTTGATGGCATTTATAAATGAAAGTTCGACACATAAGCTCGTACTATTTATTAAAAGTAGCTGTTTCATACACAACTGGATGACAATAACTAAATAACGAGAAATATGAATAAATTTAATAGTATGAACAAATTTCTTAAGAATTCGATACCCTGACAATGTATTTTTAATGTTTGCGCCATGTACTTTTAGTGAACGGAAACTAAGTGTGAGTATACGAATATAAGTTGTGATCTTTTTGTTTCTCTGCAATTTAAAAGATGAATATTATACATAACGGACGTCACAATCTTCCTAGCAAACTTTTGTATTTTTTGTTATTTTAAATAGCTCTAACCGGTTGCTTCCGTATACAGATAGAGTTTTTGTAGAGCAATGCTTTAATAATACACAAAAATTTTTTTAATTTTATTTTTTTTTTTTTTTATTGTTTTAAGTTAACTAACACAACTCAAAACACTATAACTTGTAAACTCAAGATCGGAAATTCATGAAATTTTGACAACTCGCCATCGTTTAAAGATCGGCATTAACGAAAAACCACGTGGATTTTCCAACAATTGTCAACAGTGATCACACACTCAGGAATATACATAATGTGCAGAACAAATTAAAACCTTGTACAACCTTATAAGAGGCGTCCAAGTATTTTACAGGTACGTAAGTACACTTAGAAAAAAAAAAAAAAACACCAAAAAAAATCTCCACCTCTTAATGCTGGCTACCGATTTTTTATGAGCCTTTAATTTACGGAGTGCGATTTCGAATGGCACAGGAATAGGTGACGGAAAAAAAGTGATGCGGCTGCACGAAAGGGGCGAGAAAGACAAAGAGAGCGACTGACCCATCAGAGAGACGGAGATTGAATTCATTGTAATGACACACACCATACGTATACATATTTAAATATGGAGGAGTCTCTCTGGGGTTCAGCAGGGCGCAAAAGTGAGTCGCGACGACGAGGGACGCGCTGCACTTATACAAAGAGCAATACATCTTTGAAAGAGGTAGGGAAGGGATCTCACAACACGGCCGCCATTAACATATATGCGCGGCCTGATAAGCCGAAGCCCTTTCTCGGAACCAATACCCCGTATAGCCCAGCGGTGTATATTAGAGACGCCTGATGGCTGTGCCTATACACTATATACAATATACTTACTTACGTGTACTGTTGCCCCTGCCGCTGTACTT